GGGCATCCCGGGCTGACACTGCTGTGGCGCTGAGGGAACATCACCCGGGCACACTGGCCGAGTTGATGCGGCCAACGCTGGCGGATGAGGCGCCCGATGTCGCGCCCAGCGCCGGGGAGGCCCAGTTGCGATCACTCGGCCTCGACGTGCCGACATGGGCCATATGGGCCATGTTGTGCAAGGGAGCGCCGCCGCGCGCTCACCCCGCCCAAGCAGCCGGCCCACCGGCCCGTAAGCGGTGGCAGCGGTACGCCAGCGCCTTTGTTGACCAGCGCGCGTTCGAGACGCTTTTCAGTGACCTTGATCCTGCGTCTCGTGCGCTGTTGCTGTCGCAGGAGGGGGATGGCGCCAGCTGCGCCCTGACGGCGCTCCCCACCAGTGCCGACCTCGTCGTGCCAGATGCGGAGTACCGCGTCATGCTGCTCCGACGCCTGCGACTGCCACTCCCCTTCGCGCCCAGGCATTGTCGCTGCGGCCGGGCCCTCGATACCCTCGGGGATCACCGCACAGCTTGTGCGCAAGTCGGGGTCCTGGCACATCGTGCGGGCCCACTGGAGAGGGCAGCAGCGCGCATTTGCCGAGAGGCCGGCGCACGCGTGGCGGCCAGTGTCGCCCTCTGGATGAGCGCGGGCGCGGCCGGGCGCTCACCCGCGGTGGCATTGCCTCGCGTCATTGGCGGCACTGCGCGCGCACGCGCAAACGCTGCTCGAGCTGCCGGTGCAGTCGTGCGACGCGGGGGATTATCAGGAGCTGCCGCTGGGGGAGTTGCTCGCCGAGCGCCCAGGGCAGCCGGACTGTGAGCCCTGACGGTAGCCCCGACCCTTGAACCCAGGACAGCGGGTGCAGAAAGGAGCGAGAAAAAAAACACTTTCATCACAGGCTTTGTTAGCTTTCAGTTTGTGGATGTGATGGATTGCGTCATCAAGCTCCTGCGAAGTGAAGAGTTGCTCCGTCAGCGTAGCAGGTTTGATGGGTATAAGCGTGCACCCCTTGAACAAGTTATCCAACATGACAACAATCTCATCGACTTGCGGGCTCGAAGAAAAACGGGGGGACTTCGGCTGGAGATTATTGAGCTGTTTCCAACGCATCTGCAAGTCTTCCATGCGCGAAGTTCGCGGGCATGAAGTTTCCGAACTGTCTACGTTCATCCAAGCTGTTTTGTCAAACGCCGCTGCTGGCGTAGCAGAGCTAAGGTCAACGATTGCCGAAATCTGCTGTGTTGCGTTTTTTGCCGCCGTATGTTGTTTTTTTGGCGTTGCTGCATGTGATTATCCATCAGTCGGCGTGCAATGCGGTCTCCTGCTCTCCCGCACCCCCGACGCCAAGCGCATCTCCTCTTTTTCGCCACAGCCGCCAGCCAGCCTCCTTTTTCTCCCGATTGCAAGCACAGCCACCGTTGATGGCCTGACGCCGGATCTCAGCGAGGGCTGCCAAAAGGCTTCAAAAAACCTCCCAAAAACCCGGAAACCCAGGACTTGCCAGACCCGCAATTAAAAATGCTATTTTTCAGTACTGAAATCGATGGTTTTGGGCGCCCCTCCAGTTTATCCCCCAAAAGGGCCAGGAAAGCCTCAGGAAACCCCAAGGGCTACCAAAAGGCCTTAAAAGCCACCAAAAGGCTCCAAGGTTTCCTGGCCTTTTGGTGGTGCAATGGAGGGCGCCCTTACGGAGATAACAATGGTAAGTCTCAGCTTCCTCAGCTTGTTTTGGCTTGGTAAATCTCAGCTTCCTCAGCTTGTTATGGCTTGGCAAAAAAATCTCAGCTTCCTCAGCTTGTTGTGGCTGCTTGTTGCTGCGTAAATCTCAGCTGCCTCAGCGTATTGTGGCTTGGTAAACCTCAGCTTCCTCAGCCTGCTGTGGCTTGGCCCTTGCTGATGCCAGTCGCCCGCCGCTGACGGCGTGAAACCGTCCACCAGTGCCGGTGTGGTTTCTGTCAAAATAAAAAAGTTTCTGTCTTTTTTTTGGGGGTTTGACACTGACCAGCGACCCATGCGGCGCTGAAAAAGGAGCGGAAAAAAACCCCCTCCGGGCTTATTGCATTGTAATCGCACCATTTTTGGAAGCGGAGTAAAATGTAGCGCTTCAGATTGGGGCTTATGCGTACAGCAGTTTGGGGTGCTAAAAGGTGCCCTTATATTATCGTCTTTATACTGGCCCCCATAACGCGCAATTAAGGCGATAACGACTCGCTCCATCAAGTTTTTTTTTCAAAACATTGCGGACGAGCAGAAACAGTACTCGGGGAAGGACCGCGGAAGGGTTCGTTATTTTGCAGACAATGTTAAAGGAATAGAAACCATCGCACCCTTGCCTGTGAGAGAAAGACAGAAAGAGAGAAACCGCGCCGCCTGGTCGTGTTCGAGCTTGTGGTTGGGGGCCACTGGGGGACCTAAGCCGTCACCTTCCTGCCCGGCAGCGCGCTCTTCCGTGAGCACTGGGACCCCTTTATGGTCTGAGAAAAAAACAAGACCATGCTTTGCACTCGTCGGCATTTTGCGGCAGGAAGTGGTGCAGGCGAGTTCACCAAACCATGCTCCCTCGTATCCGCAGTCTCGGTTTCAGCCTTCTGTCTTTCTTTTCTCCACGATTCGTGTGCCTGCATGTGCACACCTCGTGTCTGCAGTAACCCCGACAGGACTCTGAACGCATGTGCTCTAAAGGGGACGAGTGGACTGCATTGGTTATGGTGATAAAGAATCACGCCGTGCATGTTTGGCAATCGTTATGAAGAAGTATGCCGGTATTACCTCGCAAGTGTCAGATTCAGGATGATTTTTTTCAGAAACCACATAAAACACCCCCTCAAGACAAGGAACAGTTGCGCAGCCTTTGTGAAAAACCTTGATCCTTGTGTACGCCGGCCGACATGTGTTTGAGATCAAGTGCTACATAGGTTTGCCATCCACTCTGGTTGGATTCCTGTGCGCCAGCCTTGCAAGTTTTATGTGGTCAAATTTGTTTGCGGAGGCGTCTTAATTGTTGTACCAGCTGTATGCTGCAGCAAGGCAACAGCATGCGGCTGCGTTTCCGCCGGCAATACCTCAGCACGGCACCATGCCCACATCCGAATTCTCAGGATCATGTTCAGTCGTGAGTCCCAGGAAGTCAGCTTGTTGTATATATATATATATATTAAATAGATCCAACAAACAAATTCCGACATATGCCAGCTATCGGCGAAAACCATTTGAGGCAGTCATTGCTTTGGCCTTGGCATTGGGCTGCACCTGGGCTGGAAGATGCTGGAGCCAAGGAAATGTTGCAGGCGGCATGCCGTGGTTTCCTTGTGTTGCTGCTTGAATCACGACATGCCGTACGCGTTTCCACTGGATATACTAAATTCGCTACATCACCCCGTGCAGTCACTGGTGGGCAGATGCACGCATCCCACCCATTTGAAGGCTGCCCAGCTGCAAGAGTGCAGAAAACATGTCGAAGTTAAAAAGTAAAACCGTCACATGTTGAAACGTTCTTCCAGAGTCGCAGGAAACATCAACTGTTGACGGGTCCACCACTCAACCTGCTGCAGTATTGGACACACGCCGTGGTCAATAGGACGAGAAAGGCGGCTGAACAGCAGACGTCAAGCAGCTAAGAAGGCACGGCGCGTGTTTTGCAAGCTGAGAGATTGCAAGCTAAGGGAAGTTTAAGTTTTGCGGTTATATTCTCTGCTAAACTTTCACGCCTTTTGTCACACTGGGCGCTTTAGTCCTGAATCGGAAATATTCTTTAGTTGCAGATGGTGCATAGGGCATCATAGGGCTGGAACGGTGCACGTTGAGGGTTTCCTAAAGCGGTAGTTCGGCCGACCATAGGTTGGAGGGTCGGCGTCGCTGTCGCAACGATTCCAATCGATTAAAGTCAGCCCCGCTAATTCATTGTTAGGGTGTCCTTGTGCCCTTAATGGTTTGTATGGGGGTTTGGGGCTTTTGCCCGGAGTTTCAATCCAGGCTATGTAAGTTGTTGCCACACCTGTGCAGGGCTTCCAAGATGCCAAAGTTGCTGGGCAAGCCCCGAAGCGAAATAAAAGGAAGAAGAAGAGGGTCGCTTGCTTTGCATGGGATGCAACGGAGCTTGGAGGTTGTTATATTCTTAACAAACCACTCAGATATGGTTCGGGCTGGGGTTGTGCAGTCGTACTGGTCGCACATGCATGACCAGAAGCAATGTGGACTAAGGCAAGTGTTTTAAAAGCACGCGTCCCCTGATTCAGGCACTTGCCTGAGATGCAACGAAGATGTGCGGACTTAAGGCCCTACTTTGTTCGTCATTGCTTCAACAACGTGTTGCCATTCAAAACTTGACAGCAGCATCGGACGGGTGCACTTTACCACATTTTTCCAGTGTGACTGCCGAACAAATCCTCGGAGACTCTTCCGCTTGCTGTGCTTCAGGGCAACTGCACGCAAGGTAGCAACCGAGAGCGTAAAGAAGCCGAGGCCTCGACGAAAGCGGACGTCAAGAAAGCGGAAGCTGCACCACCAGAGCCTTCTGCAGACCCGGTGCCTGAAGACGACGCAATCGAAGCAAAGCTGCAACTGATGCACGATGCTAAGCATTTAGCAATGAATCCTTATGCCAAGAGGTCTGTTTACTGTGCGTTGTTCTCATGCGAAGAGGACTCGGACACCTCATTTCATAAGATGTCAGAGACCTGCATGATGCGTGTGCATGCGCGTGCGCACCCAGCTAGTTATCAGTTATTATCCTTGAACCAGCTTGCGCAGGCCATGTTTGCAGTAGTTTTGCAGCTCTGAATGCGACCATGAGTCCATGTTACGGTAAGCTCCGCTCAGGACCCCAATGAGTCAGAAGATGATCGCAAATTCCGAGAACGCACCTGGTGTCCATCAATTCAGCAACGGTAAATTGTCACGTGCAGTCTGTGCAGAACACATGCCCAGCTGTCAATGTTGCACGTCGCCGCAACTCCCAAACTAGGCGTTCAACTCAGCTGCTGACACCGGCAAGGATACTTGTCGGCCGAGAAGGAAGACATGCCAGACTGGCAGAGCGCCATGAAAGCAGCAAAAACCAAGGAGCGCTGCAGCCTTGTGCCATCTCGTAACCTCTGATGAGGTTGGAGCACGGCACCGTCAAACATTGATTGTTTTCCTTCTGCAGCGCCGTAAAAGTACTAAAAATCCCCTGAAGCCCTCGTCTGACGAAGGAGGAACGGTTCAAGGCGCGAGAGTTGTGTCTAGATTAGTTTGGATGTACGGTCGGCTGTGCGCAATCGGTAGTTCTAGCCAGGTTGGTTTGCAAGTGGGCGACTTTGGGACCAGCTGCTCGATTGCAAGCACGCATGATGCTGAAAGTTTAGCTTTGACTTTGAGGGGTGCATGTTTGGTGCAGGGTTGGAATGCGGATGAATGCGGGTTTAGTTTTGGTTCGTGCAAATCATATTCTGGGCCAAGGCTACACAATTCTGTTTCAAGAGCTGATCTCCAGCTTTGTCTCCGGAGACAAGGAGCTGCATGCAGTTGGGCTGAAATGAAGCAGGCCATGCGCTTTCGCCCAAGTTTTGCAGGCCTTGCATACTGCCCAATGCCAGGAGCAACTGGACGAGTTTCTGACGAACGTCGGGATTGCAGAGTGGCAACTTGCCCTTATCCAAGCAGCCCGGCTCAATCGCCTCTTGTAACGTCGCTGCGTGGTCGACGTTGGTGATGCCGTTGTGGCATCGTGCGTGGGAACGCCGGCTAGAAGGGCATGTGCAGCAAGGCACGGAGGCAAACTGTTCAAACCCAAACCCCAATGTGAAGACACCAGACAAAAGCAAGCAAACTTTGTTGCGAGGCGGCAGTAATCAGGGCAATATTGCTAGCAAGTCTTCCGAGTGGAATGTTTGGAACATGTCGAAGAAGTTCATGCTATCCCAGTGCCGAGCAGGCCCCTTAAGCAAAGCCGGAGTTGCACTCTCCAGGTGGTGGTGCTGGCCTTCCCCCTCGCTGTGATCACCTATGTCTTGGGCTTGTGGAAGCTCTAAAATTCTAGAAAGACTCTGGTCGCCGGCAATGTCGAATCTGTTCCCCTAGTTTCAGACTGGAGCTAGGAGTGGCACGGCGAAAAAAGCTCCATCTTGCAAATCTCAGAGGCTGACGGATGCGGGTATACATGCATGACGCCTTGTTTAGGATCCGCTGCCCAAAGGCCGAGTTGGGGTTAGCTGATTCCTGACCCACTCAAGCAGGTGTTGCATGGCAGTAGCGGGTGTTCTTGTTTTATTGCAACTGCTGGTGATGTTCTTGTTTTATTGCAACTGCTCAACCAAGCGGCAGACTCCGCAGGCTAAAATGTAGCGAGCACGAACGGTCGTCATCTTATCGGCGTGTGCCTGGAATGAAGATGACGCTTTTGGAGCTGGAGCCTGTTTTGGCTTAACAGGTTCTCTCCACAGGGATTGCTTGCCACAAGTTGATGAGTTCTGACGGCGAATGACTACTGCTAAAGTCAATGTTCGTGTCGACAGTTGCCGCTTAGCACCCTCACAATCGCATTGCCATGCTGCCGAAACAGGCAAAGTCCAGCGTCCCCGCAGCTCTTCCTGAGGATCGTGTCGGTTTGCGTGCATCCCGTCGTACCTCGCTGCTGGTGGGGCCTACACCAAGAGGTGAGGCTTCTTCCCGGTGTTCTGCATGCAGAAGGGGATAGAAAGGGTAGTCATTACGTAGTAATTAATTTTCTGGAGCACAGTAGCAGAACCAGCATGACACCCCCGAAACAGAAACCAGGACCCCCTAAGAAAGAGCGAGTGCTGCTAGAAGGTTCCGGGTCATTACAGCCTGTAATCGGCGGTTCTTGGAGGGCCCAGCCGAGGTCATGCTTCGGTCTTGCTTACCCCTTGGGGCTGTGGCTGACTGTGCGCAACTCACGCACCAGGACCTGCATGCACAGCCATCTTCTGCATTTCTTGCTGAGGAAGAAACTGGGGAGGTCAAAGACTATCACGTCGAGTCTGCCTTTGAAACACACCAGGCAAGCTGAATAGAGTATAGAGGCCGGTGACATGCTCTCCGCACATCCAGGACACCCGGCTGCTTCAAGAAGTCTTCCTTGTCCGGGGCTTCCAGGGGCGTTGAGACCTGGCGCGCTTTACCTGCGGAGATACCCACCAACTTCGACCAGAAGCTTGGGCACAAACCCTGGTACCACAAGAGAGGCAGCATAATGCAGCTTGAAATGCCGATCTCGTATCAGTTACGCACCCCAAGCTAGCGATCTTCCAAGTAGCGAATCCCTGTGTCATCCTCCAGCAATTTCAGGATCATCCGAGCTTCAGAGCCTTTCACTCCGGGACGGTTTGAGCGCAATGTTTGGCTCTAGGGTTGATCCATTATTCTGAATCATTCTGCGTTTGCGCAGGCGAGGTTTAGCTCGCATACGCTTGCACGTTGGCAGGTGATATTGTGTTTGTGGACGGTGCAGTGCCGCACGATATGGGCACACTGTTTGGTGAAGAAAAGACTGCTTGTGCTTTAACCCTTACAGGATTCATGGACCAAGGATGCTGAGAAATCGCTACAACGACATCGTCATGGAGGAGCTTGATGGAACTCCATTTCGGACATTAGCTGTCATGCGCGTGCCCATCGATTCGGTACCCGATGTGGGCTTCGAGCGTGAGTTCTCGTTTCAGTTTGGCTCCTTGCAACACTCGGCCGTGTTGCATGCTGAGCGCGAACACGGTGGCTTTGTCGGATGTGCTGTCAACATCCCTAAGGCCGACTACTTGCCCCGAGGGTGTGTTGGGGCAGAGATTCTCTCGGTAGCGCAGCAGGAGAACAACGTGGTCAAGGTGACGCTGCGCGGCATAGGGATGCTGCGCATCATTGATCGCGTGTGTGGGCCTGATGACAATGGTTGTGTTCTTCCCATTGTACAGGAAGTGCTGGAATGCGGCGATCTAGAGGACCAGCAGGGCTCAGAAGCGCTGCTGCGGGAGATAAAACTCGTGGAGGACCTGTTTGTAACTTGCGGCGGGCTCCAGAGATCCACGGGCATCTGGGCAGCTGGAGACCTTGCCTCCAAGACAGTCGCTGACATGACGGTGGTCTCAATGCAGACAGTGGCTGATGTGCAGTTGTCCGGCGTGGGCTCCGAAGAGCAGCGCTGGCCTGTGTTGGCTAGCCATGCTGCCGTGTCGAAATTTTGTGCCGCGAAGCGGTCGGAGTTTCTGTGCGATCCAACCTCGACATTGCGGCGGATCCGTTCACTTAGCAGTTTTTTGAAGTTGATGGAGCGCGTCCTGACGCAGAAGCTACTTGCAAAGAAGGCGTAAGGACAAGAAACGGAGCATGTCAAGCACATCTAGATTGCCAAGTCCATGCCTCACTTGCCGCTCCTAGGTTAGCCTTTGGGTCTCCAAATCCCAGAAGATAGATCAGCCGTGGATGTGCCAGCGCGAGCTCGAAGGTGTGCGTGTGTGCGCGTGGGTGTGGGTGTGGGTGTGGGTGTGGGTGTGGGTGTGGGTGTGGGTGTGGGTGTGGGTGTGGGTGTAAATGTGGGCGTGGGTGTAGGTGTGGGTGTGTGTGTGTGTGTGTGTGTGTGTGTGTGTGTAGAAGCTGCATTTTCAGTTTAGATCCCAGGAGTTGTGGAATCAACAGTTCGAGATGAAAGTCAACAACAGAGGAGATTCAGGAAAAGCAGCAGACAAGGGGAGTTAGCTTTCCTTCGCTTCAGATTGGCGGCGAATTTGCAAACTTGGGGTGGGGCTGCAAGCTTAGGGCGGGGTTTTTGCCAACAGGCTTTGGGCGGCCAGGCTTTACCAGCCTGATGTTTGCATGGCAGTTATCCGGAATTTCCGGCAGAGTGTCGTGAGGTGGCCTCCTAATTGTCCTAATTTGTTTGTTCGCCGCTGGGTGCTGGATCGCCAGGTGCTCATGTGCGATAATTCTTCATGGGGATAGTCTACACGTCATGCGTTCCTGGCTGCTGGCCTCCACACATCTGCACAGCAATGCCACCTGAAACCAACCCTACCCAACTTTGCTTACAGCACTTTATGATTCATAGCCAGCCTGGGCAATGGGCAATCGATGCATTTGTCTGCAAAGTCAGCAGGACAGGTGGACAACTTCACACGGAAGATGTATAGGGGCCTGGCGAGCTGTGTTTGTGTTGAATCACGTCCCCTGGCCTGTCTTCACCACGTCACCTTTCGGCGCCCTGCGAGGATGCTCTCTTAGCACCAGGAGTAACAGAGGTACTGGCTGGCAGGGAGCGCCAGCCTCAGCCGGCCTTTCGTGCCCCCTCCGTTTTTGATGTGCTTGCATGTCCCGTTCAGCTTTCTCATTCCATTGGACTAAAAGGCCGTGCGATTTAAGACAAATATGTTAAACGTGCATGGTTGAAGTATGATGGGACATGGTCCACTTTTCCGCGTTAGCAGTTTGGCAGGTCGTCGCCGACCAACCGGACACTTCCGGCATCAGAGGGCTCCGAAGGCCGCGGCCAGCATATCGCAGCAAAAAGAAGTAGACTCAGTAGACGTTCGAATGCCTCGCTCATGGTTCTGCGAATAGCGGCACAGACGCCGCAAAAACCACACAAACTGGATTGAAAGGAAACGTCGGAGGTAAGCCTGCCAGGCCTGGTGCGATCCGAGACTGTCACGGTTGTTTTGGAGGGAGGCCGGGCCTTTTGCTTTGCAAGAGTTAGGGTTTATAGTACATGTTTATGCCATGTGCTGCGCATGTCGACTTTTCGCGACTTGTCTGGCATTGGTTCCGAGCACAAGCTTGTCGACTCGTGGTTTTGACTGTTGCCGTTTATCATATGACAAGACCTGTCTGAGCTTGTGAGCGTACTTGTAGCATCTGCTAAGACATTGTGGTGCCTCTTGTGTCTTGCATAGACGTACTGCATGGGTTGTGCCATCAAAGACTATCGGTCCTCACTTGTCGTCGACTAGTTTGTGTATTTCCAGCTTAAAAGACAATACTTGGTACTCCATTTCGTTCGCCGGAGGGCGAAGCCCTAGAAGCATCCCAAATCATGCGCCAACCTCGTGTGCACCGGTGTTTCAGTGCAGGGTGGTCTCTTTTGCAGGCCCTCTCGACTTTGCTTAACCTAAGTCAGGGAAACTCGTGGCGCTCCCTTTCTTGCCCTTCTTGACCAAGCTTCATGTTGGAAGGCCTCCAGTACACCGGCCAATGGAAGGGCGATGTTCGAGAAGGCATCACCGAGAATCAGTAGGGTATGCGCGGCACCTTAGGCATGAATTGTTTGTTTTTCCAGAATAAATCCTCTGAGCCCATCGCCTGCTCGACCTGCATAAAATGTCGACCTGCCCACAGGGATGGGCATCCTGCTTCGCCCGGACGGCAACCGCTACGAGGGACAGCCTCTCTGCGAAGTCTTTTGGAGGTCTGGCTTGTTGGCTTCTTATAAGAAGTCAGCAAAGCATCCAGGACCTCAGGATGCCTTCAGGCTTCGAGTTGTCGGGCTTCCGGCAAAGGAGAAGGCCAATGTTTGGCTCGAGGGGTTGGAGCGATGAAGCGTGATTTCACATCCATGACCCTTACTGTGTAGGAAAGGAATCGTGAAGCACTCCGGAGCTGAGGTTTGAGAACGACATGGCGCGACTCAGCTTTGAGCAGGCGTGTTGCAACGTGTTGCAACGTGTGTTGCCACTGTACATCAAGGCACGGAAGTGGCCGCCTTGTGACCGCCAGTGGAGACGTCTACGACGGGGAGTGGCGCCAAGACAAGGTCGGATGTGCGGCAAGCTTTTAGGGTTTAGGGCGTAGGGATGTTTAGGGCGTAGGAGGCGGTCTGAGCTCAGCACTGTAAACACTTCGCCTGCTCGTGCTTTGACTTCTTCGCAAAGTTCAACACATGCTGCATAGCGTATGAATGACGACAAAACGTGACACTTTCTCCCTTACTGAAGACAAAACATCTAGTGCCGAGCATTGAAATACTTCCACAACACCGGCTGCAGTAGCAACAACAGGACTCGATACTTAAGTAGATCCTTTGCTTCCCTTCGAGGCCCACGGGTTTGGCCGGCTGGTCCAGAAGTCAGGACGGAGCCCGACACCGAGACAAAGAGGGCAACAGAAGGCTAAACGAGAACTCTGAAAAAGAAGGTTTGTAACAGGCATTTGGGGTTCTTCCAGTGGGCATTGTTTTCCCAACTCTTTCGCGTGCTGTCGGGGAAAAGCATCAACGCTGCATTGTGATTGGCAAAGCCTTGCGGAGTAGTACTTGAAACGCAGCCCCGCGAGAAGAGCAAAGGGTCCGGATTTCTTTCTCGACTTAACCCTAAACCCTAAACCCGAAACCCTAAACCCGAAGAAGCTCCTCGAAGTTCTGAGGCTACGAGGGGCAGTGGGAAGATGACCTCCAACATGGCTATGGTGGCCACCTCGGCTTCTTGAATTCGTAAACTGGATGTAAACGGTCTTTGAAGCTAGCTTTGCCCGTGAGCCTGTTTTCGCACTCATGTCCTTTTCGCGGGTAGCCCCGGCTCTTGCCAAACACAAGTTGCTTGACCTCTCAATTGCCATGAAATGAACTGGTTAAAGCCCATGCGCGCAGACTTGTGGGAGGTGTTGAGCAGTGGATCGACGGCTCCCGCTACGAAGGGCGGCATGGCTGTAAAGACCGCAATGCCTGGCATTTCATGACTGCCTTTTCGGGCCCCCTTAGATCTAGATTGTTCTTCAACATGCAAATCAAGCACAGGCACTGCGATGACGATGCGACTGGCAACTAATTAGGGTTCATTCCCTGACTCTAGCTGACTCTTCGGACGGAGCGCCCAAGACATGGATAGAGACACGACGGAGACGCAGGTACCTCGTAATCACCCTCTACCTGAGTACCAAGGTGCTATGTCCGCAATTGCAAGCACGGGCAAGGCTGGGGCGGGGTTGTCATGACATCTGGCGCCAGTGTGCCAGATGACCTCAAGGAAATGTGGAGACTCCCAATCTTACGTATGTATTCCTCATATGGCAATGTGCAGGTCAGGAGCCAAATTTCACCAGTTCTCGGGGAGGGCAAATGGAGCGCTTCTGTGTCTGTGTCAAAGGCACCTTCACTTGGGCAGCCGGTTCCTCATACACCGGGTCCTTTGAAGAGGCACATCGTAACTGGTTGCCTGTGCACTTTCTGCAGGGTCTGATCTGGCACGCCGCTCTGAAAGAACACACTGGAGATGAGCTCTGTTTCAGTGGTCGAAGCATGCTGGCGCCCGCTGGGCCGCCGTACTGTAGGTAATCTAGGCAGTTAGCATGCACAGCGAAAACTCACCAGTTTGCCTCGATCCAATTTTCAAGAAGGACGAAATACATGGAGTCGGCCACTATCAGTGGGCAGATGGACGAACCTACACTGGACAGTGGGAGCAGAACTGCTGTCATGGCGGCGCAGATGAATTAATTAGAATTTTGAGGTGCCAGGGATTGCCAAGTGCTTGGAGAACTTGAGATCAATCAGACACCCCTTTGCTTGACTGCCAATCGTTGCTGAGCCTGGAGAACGGATGGTGCTGTCGACTTTTGGACCCGTCATGTCTTTTTTTACTAAAAACTCCATACAGCGAACATCAGCGAACGAAATTGCCGTCATGATTCGAAGCACTGTCTTCCAGCCAGGCATGAACTGATTGGTGGTCGCTCTGCAACGCCATACAAGCACTCGGTGCAGTTAAAGGTCATGCTGATATCTGGTCCCTTTGCTGACTCGCCCCAGGTATGGGTGACATGTTTTGGCCAGACGGGCGTGCGTATCATGGATGCTATGATGCTTGGCCAGCACATGAAAGCACGAAGTCGCTAGACAAGCTGCGGATTTCCGCAAGCACTGGCCGCATGTTCATTCTTGCCGGTGTGTCTCACCCCGTGTCTAGATGTGAAATGCACACCCCAGGCAGCAGACAAGAAGCACGGCGAGGGCTGCTACATGTGGCAAGATGGGCGCCAGTACAGCGGTCAGTGGAAGGACTGTACTATGTGCAATGTTGGAGTGCAGGAAGCAGCAGTTAGCGAGAGTTTGTTAGTATGAAGGGGTATGGCAGAAGTTGCAGACTATCTCCTGAGCTCACAGGATGGCAAGCAGCATGGATTCGGCAGATATTTGAAGCTCGGTGTTACTTGTCCGTCTGCTGTCGGCTGTGACAAGCAGTTGGTGTTGCAGCACTACTCGGACATGGTCGTAAGGGTGTTTGTCATCGCCGAAGCCACTGAAGTCACCAGTCAGCTGAGCCAGCTGGTCTGGGTTTGCTGTCCTATGCATCTGGAGCGGTACTGCTAGCTCAAGCAAAGAAAGCGCCTCGCAGGAGATTTGTTATGAGCGTTCAGAAAGTGGTGCCCTGCCACGGTGGCGTAGCCAGTAGCTCGAGGGAAGCAATCGCCCTACGCGATTCGCCGACAGCCATGTGCCCGCCCTGTGGTAAGGGCAGTGATACACCTTGGGATTGGCCTTTCGGCTTTCCTAGATCACAAGGAGTTTCTGCACCAGACCTTGCTGTGCCTTGGCAGCGCAGCCAAAACCCCCCTCTTTGCACATCATCCCGATACCGCTGCACCAGAAACTGTGGCATTCACTGCTCACTGTCAGCAAGGAAACGCAAAACAGACATACAGGGAACTCACGATCTAGGTGTCCATACTCTGCTCGAAACCGCTGTGGCAGCTGCACCCGCAGTGAGGATCCGACAAAGATGTCAGCATTCTCCGAATTGCGAGCTCCAGCCCCTGCTATCTTACAACAAACGAGCAGGGGAAAACGCCCCAGCTGCAAAACTCAAGCACGACCTTAAGCCCTTGCGTGCAACGCTAGCAGCCACAATAGCAATGAATCACAGCACACAGCAAGACGCCCGCAAATCCCACTTCATGCCCCTCCCAGACAGGCTACAACATCTGCAACATGCCATACGTTGAGGAATTTGCCAAGGTCACGCAGCAGATTTGCTGCTAGATGTTTCCCACCGGCGCTGTTGCGTCCCTAAAGCTAGAACGACTGCTGCTCTACCCCCTCCATGGCCAGTGTAGATCGCCAGTTACGAGCCCACAATTAACCAAGGAATGCCAATGGGCAGGCTGGCATGATGCTATTGTTCCATTTTGGCATTGCAAGGGCAAAGGGGCATGTTCTTCGGGTCAAGCCCCTCAACACCCCATGTGAAGTGCCTAAGCTCCCAAGTTTAGAGCTCAGAAGCTTACAGGCGTTGCTCGCACACGCGCGAACACGGCATGCCCAGGCACAATGCCAAAGACTTAAGGGCTTATAGGCTTCAAGGCACGCATATATTGTATGAGGCATGACGGCGTGTCGACATTGGTGTTCGTATCCCAGACAGAGATTCCCGACGTGCCACCAGCCAGGGAGAGGGGTGGAAGCAAGACTGTCAGCTCAATACGCACCCAGTTGAAAGCGCGCAACGGAAAGCGACACAAAACGCTGAAATGCGGCTGAGAGCTTATAAAGCCCAGGCAATCGCCTCACAGTGACAAAGCATCTTGGTGCGCCTTCAAGCGCCCAAAATGCAGCAACGCGCTTACCACTCAAAGGCGCCGAAGCATCAAATAAGAGCAGAAAACATAAGGCATCATCGATTGCGATCTCGTGAGCATTCCAGAACCATGTGAGCACCTAAAAACGCATGCAAACAGGCCAGCAAAACAAAGGCCAAAGCAAGCTTCGACAAGCCTCTGGGGCGCCCGAGCTGCCGAAGCAGCGAAAAGCTAGAAGCGTCCAAGCGCCTCAGAAAATGCGTCACCCCCCCCCCCCCTCCTTCTCGGCTTCAGGGGAATGTTGACTCATATTGACTCCCTGAGCCTAAGCCTTGTGATTGGTTTGAGGATACTTTAGGAAGTTTAGGGTTTTAGGGTTCTGGGCTTTGCTAGGATATCCGAGCTTAGGGTTGAATCGTGGGAGTGCGTCTGCAAGAGTCTCAGAGGCTTACAAGTTCTGTCTTATGACCCCCAGCTGTCAGGCTCGAGAAGGCGTTTGGCAGCGCGGACAGCGCCTCAAATGGCTTGGAGGACGCTATGTTCTACTGTTGCGCCACACCTTCTGAATCCATGACGATTCGACAGGGTGTCCAAGGCCCAAGGAACATGGATGCTGCCATGCTGCGTGGGGGGACATCGGGGGGGCAGACCATGCCAAACCCGTAAGTTGCCTCCCCAGCTTTGGCAGGAGAGCGTGATCCCAGGGATGCTGATGCGTTCATTGTGAAGAAGAAAACGCAAGTGTGAAACTTCAGGGTCACCTTCACGCTGAAAGCGTGAAGCCACATCTGAGGGGCACACACACAAGCCAACCTTTGGTTCTGTTTTGGGAGCTCGTGCCTGAAAATTGGGCGGAGCCGGGCTATTTGGCGCTCAAGACGCCATGTCCCAACTTTTCGATACTCGCACATGGTAGGAAAACCCCTTTTTTCCAACATCGATGACGAAGCCTAGTCTGAGTCCCGCACCTGAAGTTTAAGGATTGAACTATGCCAGGCATAAGCGCACGTCACAGACCTAGACCTGTAGCAGAGCTAATGACCAGCAGTTTGCCTTGATCCACCCGACCTCTGCGGAGGACCAACGCTTAGCGAGATACAGCTTGAATGTCGACGAACATGACGGACATGAGCGTGCGCTCTGTGCAACTCCAGGGCGAAAATGAGCGTTTGTAGGTGGGGGGCTTGAAGATGTAGGAGGACGCATAGACTGCCGTCAAGTGCTGTGAGCAAGCAGAAGTTGAAGCTTCGGCGCTGCAAGCAACTGCAGTTCCTTAGCCGCCGCCCTGCAAGTAAGCGGCCACATGAAGATTGAAGGTAGGGCTTGAGGCTTTTGTTCTCAGAATTGGTTTTTCAGTAGATGTAGCTAGGGGGTCAAGAGTCTTTCCGGCCGGCTTGTCGCACATCAGCTCATTCTACCTGGGCACTGGCAGCCAGCTTTGTTTTTCTTCGCCATGCAAGCATGCTATGTTATATAGAGAAGCCCTACTCCATCTCGTTTCAGGCACTTCTAAAAGCCAAAACAAGACATCCTGTTACAGCAGTCTTGCCGACCAACAACCACACAGTCCTGACCAGCCTTACCAGATTTAGTATATACACCTGCCCTATCGGAGCTTGGCTTTGAGTGGAGCTGCGGATGGCAGAGCTTTTGGGCTTCCATGCCATGCTTCATCTTTAAGCTCTAAATCCTGTAAGCCCTCAGAGCCTCAACCCCGACGGCTTCTCGTTCAGGTATTGATCAGGCAGCAGTGTCTTTTTAGACTTGTGCTCATTGTCATTATCATTCTCATTGCCGTTAGTCTTGCGCGAGAGCATATGGGCACTTTCCTCTGGATATGAAGCGGCGGCGTTTCGTCGGAAAGCAACGTCCGGGGACAGCCGACAAAACGCTGCGAGTCTTCAAGACGTCCGGCGAAGAGCTTGTTTCCACATCCGCAGAAGAAGTAGGCAGTGTCCGAGAGCTGAAACTTCGAGTGCGTGCCCTGTGTGGGTTGCCACGGTTCAGGCAGAGGCTCCTGCACGAGGGTGTCGTTTTAGAAGACGATACAAGGCTGGAGTCTCGCATGGACATTCAGCTAGTATTGCTGAACTTCTGCGAAGCCACCGAGGAGGAGGAAGACGAACTAACGGCTGCTGTCAAGTCCCACGATGTTGCTTCCGTGGAGCAGAAACTTCAGCGACCCCAGTGCCCAGATATTCTTGAGACCAGCGAAGGCGCGGACACGCCGCTCTGCGCTGCATCAGGCAATGGTAACATGGAGATTCTGCATTTGCTTCTCGAGGCTCGGGCAGATGTGGATGCTGCGAATGGGGAGGACGACACACCTCTCTCGCTTGCAACTATTCATGGCAATGTGGATGTTGTTGATACTTTGTTGAAGGCCAGGGCTGACACAGAAGTGGGGACAAGAGATGAGGAGACTCCTCTTACCTTGGCAGCTGCCGAAGGCGGCAGAGAACATTGGAAGATTGCTCGCTTGCTGTTGCAGGCACGGGCGGACATCGAAGCAACCAACTCTGACAACGAGACGCCTCTTTTCGTCGCCTGTGAGTTTGGCAATGAGCCCGTCGTGTCTTTGCTTTTGCAAGCCCGGGCAGACCTGAATGCAGAAAACTGCATGGGTCGCACGCCCATGCTGGCAGCCAGTACAGAAGATCACGTAAGGATTGTACGCCGACTGGCGCGAGCTGCAGTGGGGACCGAATCGGATGGCGCCCCTCTTCGCGTTGCGGCAAAGTTGGGCCGTTTCCAAGTCTTGCGTGTGCTGTTGGCATTTCGGGCCGATCTCGAAGCAAGAGACCCACATGACAGAACGGCGCTATCCCTCGCTTGTGATCGGAGAAAAGAATTCTCATCCCGTGGCAGTGTGGTGCAACTGCTGGTGCAGGCCCGGGCCAATGCAAATGCGAAAGATGAACATGGTCTCACACCGTTGTGGTATGCGGTTCGCCACGACCACTTACGACATGTGCGTCTACTGTTGGAGGCTGGTGCTGACAGACAACAGACAGACCCACGTGGGAAAACGCTTCGTGAGGCCGCCCGTGACAACATCCAAGTTCTTCGCCTGCTTTCAAACCGAAAGCTTTTGCGCATGCCACGAAAGAAGTCGTGGATGCGGTAAGCAAGCAGAGTCTTCCACACACGTGCAGGCGATAAAACAGATGCGGCTGAGGGCTGAACGCTGCGTCGTGGTCATTCATGGGAAGTCGACCTAACCCATGTAGTCCTGCATCACCTTCCCTAAACCTAAGCCCAAATAGTGCTGGATATGGTACCATCTGCAGGCTTAGGAGAAACGGGTCCACAAAAAATAGTCCTGCATTTCCCTGTAAGCCCTGTAAAGCCCTGCCTTAACCCCAAATACCCTATGGCCTCTTCCAGGTATATAAGCAAATCAGGATGAGGAACCCGAAAACGGTGGTTTTCTTAGGGTCCAGGCAAACCCTGTAGCCACCCCTCCCAAAGGATCCAAAGCCTTTATGGTAGATACTTGGAAGAACCACAGTAACTATTCCGAATATAGAAATCCTACATTCTGCTATACAGGGTTTAGGGTGTAGGGTTTCGGGTTTAGGGTTTAGGGTTTAGGGGACCTGTTGGGCTTATGACCTTAGGGTTTAGGGTTTAGGGGACCTTTTGGGCCAATGACCTGCTTACTGATGACACCGATCCCTCTGACTTGCGCCCTGGACTCGTCAGTCGGAGTGCTCAGGTTTTCCTGGTGGGGGGGGGGGGGGGGGGGGGGCTGGAAATACACACGCATGCATAGGCACGTTACCTACATACATTTACATGCACGTATAAATAAATATGCATATATATATATATCTATCTATCTATGTGCTTGTGTGTGTAAATATATATTTCAGTATTTACTCGTGTATGTACATGTATATACTAATATACATCTATGTGTATAAACTTCCAGGCCTTTCATGAAACGCAAAAACACCTTCTTCAGACATTCCAGACAACACTAAGAAACGCCCAGTTATGGGCAACAGCGCTGCAGCAGGGGAGCTGCGCATCTTCGCAGCAGACCTGTCGCACTGCTGCATTCAGGGGGTGCCGGGAAAATTCCCTCAGCCCGAAACTGGACTGAAAGTCTGAGCCCCCAGTTCAGCTTCTGCTCAAAGTACCCACAATGACCCACAACATGCCCTGTTTTGGGCATGAAGTCAAGGCTCTTCTGGAAGAATGCTCGGAACCTCGACCTTCAACCACCAAGCTTTTCAAGACGGATCAGTTTGCAGAGAAATCCTGCACCAGCTGCCATGAGCACTGGGAAACATTTCGCTTTGTGATAGCTGCACCACACATTGAAGCCACTCCTTGGTGCAACTCAAGCCAACCTTCTAAACCCGCAAGCCCGGAAAGAAAATCAGATTGAAACAAGGCGAATCAGAAGACATGGTACTGAATTCGGGTTCAATCTATCTTATTTATGAGGCCCTTCTATTATTTGAGGATCCTACAGTTGAAGCACATAAGGGTCCTTTTGTTAAACTCCCTTATGAATTTCGCCGTTTCATACTTACTTTTGTTTTCGTTTGTGTTTGTTAATTTGGTTGGTTAGGTATGTTACTTTTTTCCATCTGTCGCGCAGTCGGCAACGCGCTGAGGAGACCCCGGGAGCTTTCGAAGGCAGGGCGTTTGCTAGAGGTTGGAATCGGGTGCTCTCGAATTCTAAGGGATCCTGTAAGGATTCCTATATAGGGTTCCTGTAAGGGTTCTCTAAGGGTTCTATGAGGTTTAGGGTTCTATGAGTATCCTGTGTAGAGGTCTCCGAAGAAAGAAGGGACCGATCGGCTCAGGTGTCTTGTTCAAGGGGGTTTGCCTGCCGCTTTTTCCTACAGAGGACAACCCTGATGAATGATGTGGAGGATCCGGCAATCCCACCGAAATAGAGAAGTGGAGGGAGCTTACGTATTGAAGCACACAGACAGGGGAAGACGGCGACCTTTTGGGGAGGCATTGTGATCCGAACGCTAGTTATACTAAGCTTTAGATTCAGAAGACAAAACAAGGTTCCATCCGCAAAGCTGGCCCTCTGATTGCTCTCGAGGTGTGGCGGCTGCCTGAGAGGGTGTCTCACGAAGAGTTCTGAACGTCAACAGTCATCCAGGACGCCCCTGAAAAACACGCTGTGTGACTTGCGAGCTGAACTGCCTCCAAAGAATGTCTCACAGGGCTATAGGCAAGCTGTGCCGTGTGCCCTGCTCTTGGCCCAAAGCAGCTGTAGCATAGCACAGCATAGTTCTGACCGGCGCGTGCAGAGACAGGTGGTGAACTCGAAGTTAGCCTCCTCGCCTGTTTCCGGCGTTTCCGGTCATGGCCGGCTTCATGGGCACTCCGGATGGAGACGAGACCATTGCGCTCCTTGAAAGAGTGCAGACCAAAGATGATTTCCATGCCAAGAGGTGGCGTTGCTTGTCGCATCCCACACGAGCCTTGGAGACCTTGTCGCCAGTGGCCATTCTGGAGATCGGCATCTTGAACGCACGCGACCTTGCGGAGAGAGAGAGCGGCATGTGGCGCTCAGACACGACGGCAGACTCCTTCGTACAAGTAGTGCTGGACGATCAGGAGCTCGAGAAGTGCATCACTCCCGTTGCCAGAGGAAAGAAGCAACCAACATGGCTCTACCACTGTGAGGTGGACATTTTGGCTCCTATGTCTATGATTCGCTTGCAGGTGTTTGATGACCAGCCGACCGAAAAGGTGCCGATCGGCTTCGTGGACGTTTGTGTAGGAGACATTCCCTACGATAAGCCGATTGAGGGATGGTTCGAGCTGCGCTTCCAGGACTCAGGGGTAATTCGAAGTGAACTGAATACAGCTTAATGACTGCACTGCGTGACGATTGAGCGATGATAAGAGGGAGGGCCATGTTCCTCGAAGGACAACTTTCAGTCAACGAGCGTACACCGCTACAACCACCATTGCGAGACGCGCGAGGAGACGGTAAGCCAGCGGGAATTCGAGGAGGAGAAGAGGGGTTTGGGATTTTGAGTTTCGGAGAGCCCTCCCCATTTCCCCATTCAGGCTCTTTAGGTCCGCATGGACACACGGCCGTACCACAAAATGCAAGAAAGCTCGACTCCCGTCCAGGGTTCGCGGCATCTCTGAAGCAATTTGACAAGACCGGGTCAAATCTTCCTACATGCCAGAGCAACCACTGAGCCTCAGGAGGTGCTTCCATTCACGTAACTGGATCCCCATCCCCCAATACGTGGTCAGCTCCCTGACTTGAAGCCGAAACCTGAGAAGCGACGACGAAGCGCTACTTTCTCAGGAGCTGAAGAAGAAGCAGGGAAACAAGGGAAACCAGGCCCCGGACCCCGAAGCGGCTCGTTGGCAAGAGTGTACTTTGGGGGTGGTTCAATTTCCTGTTCTGTTCATGTTGGAGTGGCAATGACGTCCTAAACGTCGCGCATCAAGTTTGCAAAAGGCCTGAAGAATCAACGCAGCTACGTCGCTTCGGCGTGTGGCATCATGTGTCACTCACTCGTACTGTACTAAACGATGCTTACAGGCTGGCAGAATTTCACCCACCCGAATGTGTCCTTGTCTGTTCTTGCGATGAGAAAGAGAGGCCTTCTGAATGATGTGTAGAATCTAGAATTTGAATCTGCCGAGCTTGCCCTAACCATGGAGCAGGACTTGCAGCCTTCCATATCATTCGTGCGTAATCCGAAAAATCCCGAGGGGGACTGCTACTGTAAGCATGCCCAGGTGCAAAACCCTAAACAAACGGGTAGCAAAAAACACCCTAAACCCTAAACCCTAAACCGAAACGGGTGGGAAAAAAACCCTAAACCCTAAACCTTTTCTGCTGCTGCAGAAAGTGCTTGCAGAAACCCTTTGTTTTTGGAAAGCTAGGCTAGGAGTCCCCTGTTTTCGTAAACTTCCCATATTCCGAAGGTGGGTATGGATGGGGGCGAGTCCGAGACGATTGTGGTCAAGAAGCCGTACTTCGCCTCGAGCAAGGACCTGTGAGGGAGAATTGTCCGAAACCCCAAACCCCTAAGCCCTAAATGACCTTGAAGCTTTGTAGTTTTACAGCACCCAAAGGAGCGTGCCATGGATGCCTTCCAAGCCTGTGTCCACTCGACGGCCGACCGTGCAGAGGCCGGGAGAAGCAAATTCTTGCCGTGAGCTTTAGGAACTTTGGTTTAGGGTTTTTGGGGTTTAGGGTTTAGGGTTTCCAGTCTTAAAAAAGGGTTTCGGGAATAGGGGTGCCAGAAACTGCCCAAGCACAGGCTTCCAGTCAGTAGCACTGGAAGCCTGTGCTTGGGCAGTTTCTGGCAGCACCCAGAGGAGTCCGGATGCAAAAAGGGTTTAGGGGGTGTATGCGGCGCCTCGGTAGATACTCCTTGCTCTAGAGCGAAGCACAGCACATTTTCTGACCGCCTTGGATCCACTGACCCCGCGCGCAGGAGTACGGGTTCCAAACCTTGAGTGCCAGCCTAAAGGAGGGCACCACAGAGAGGTACCGGAGCAACAACGGGGAGCTGAGTCTCGGCTAACTTGGACAGGGTCGAGTCGAGGGGCCTGCAGGATCAGAACACTCGCAACTTACACGCCCTCAAAGATCTTTTCACCAGGTAAACTGCATCCAGGTAGAAAACAAATTATCCTGCAGCCTGTCCTCTCCCCTTCAGCCACAAGAACCTCACTGGAAATCATTCCGAGAAGTTTGACTGTGCCATGTGACTGCACAAAACTGCACAAAACTGCACTCTATGACGGCGAAAACGAGATGCGCGCCACAAAGTCAGGTATATTTCGCTGAAGCTCAAGACTGTGGTTTCCAGCTCTGACAGCCTCTTCGCCTTGGTCACCTGCCCAGTCTAGGGCTGTGGGGGTTCCGCAAGGTGCCACACCGTTGGCAGTACCCTCTGAAAGGGCATAGGGTTTAGGAAAAAAGGGTTTAGGGTTTCGGGTTTAGGGTTTAAGGTTTAGGGATCAGGGTTAAGGGTTTAGGGTTTAGGGTTTATAGGGTTTAGGGTTTATACGGTTTAGGGTTTAGGGTAGGAGTCCAGTTGCAAAAGGGTTTAGGGTTTAGGGTTTAGGGTTTAGGGTTTAGGGTTTAGGGTTTGCTGAATAGGGCGTAGATGCTGTGAAGGTTAGGATGCAGCAGAGGCTCGAAGAATACCTCGTCAGGTGCGAAGAGCAGCTCTGGCCCGATTGTGGAGGGCCATCAAATACTTTTCTCCCACCCCACGCCGTCTATTCCTTTCAGGGTTTAGGCCTAAACTCATGACAATCGCTTCAAAAAACCTTTCCGTCAAGGGGTCCGGGACCCCCCTGGCCTGGGGTTTTGGGGTGCAGCAACACACCTCCAGAAGCTTAGTATCTACACTTGAATAAGGGACAAGTACTGGTCCCGAAAAGAACGTGCTCCGGTACCGGGCCCATCGTGGGTTCTACCGACCTCCGAGCTGTTGGAGGCGGGCGAACGACCTGGGTCGGCTTGCGCCATCGAGGTCGAGGGGCTTAGGCGCCGCCGGGGGGGCGGCCTAGGCCTTGAGTTTAGGGTTTAGGGTTTACAGTAGGGTGTAGGGTTTAGGGTTTAGGGTTTAGGGTGGTCCAGGTTAAAAGGGGCTTAGGGTGGTATCTTGACACAGCACTACAAAGCTCCTGTTCATATGCCCAGGCTTTAGATGCCCCGCCACCTGTAAATCGTGGCATTCGCGAGACCACAGAGTTGAAGAGGACTCTGCAGATCTCCGCAGTATCTCCCCGTTTGTTGAGATTTGTACATGGCTCACTGAGGGGCGCAGGGCCAATCATAAGAGCAATGGGCTCCAGGTACCTTGCTCCACATGCTTGTAGCACCCGCGCCCATGCAGGACACCCGACATCCAGCAGTGCGTGGACGAAGTCTGGGAAGTAAAGGTGCAGCTGCTGGATGACGCAGTGCTATGCTGTGTGTATGGCTTCAAGTACCTCATCAGCTGGCGCTGCTGGCCACTCTCCCTCTTGTACCTCGTCGGGAGTCTCGTGTGCTGCTACAGGTCCTACTGGTGGTGGGCCATCCTCCCCTTGCTTCTATCCGTCTCCCTTGTCGTCAACTCCTTCCCAGAGCAGCGCAAGTACATGACAAGGGGTGGTCTCAATGCAGACCTCACGGAAGAGGGTTTCAAGCACACAGCAGCTTGGCGCAACACAGATGAGGTTCATTCTTTCATTGGCCGCCTGCTGACCGAAGACATGAAGGCCAGGCTCGACAACCCGCGCAACTCCCACAAGTTGCGTGCCTTCGCTGCCCAGTGCATGCGTGATGGTGTTCCGACAGTGTCCCTTTCGGAGCTACGCCTCGCGCTCATGGCAGCACCATTTGTGGTCGACGCAGACAAGGCCTCTGCCTTCCAACTCCATGAGCCCGTGTGGGTAGATGGCCGCGACCGTGCGGTCATTACGGAGCTGACCGCTGTGCCTGACAGGATCACTGTGGAGCTCCAGCCCACCTTGTTAGACAAAGAGAAGCATGTCAAGGTGGTACACCAGCGCCAGATTACTAAGAGAGGCGAAAGCATCCCGAGTCTTCCCAAGTGGGCCACCGAAATGGTCATGTCCTCCGCCATGGTCCAGATCTACCCCCCGCTCGAGGGCATCCGCCTTGGTTTGCTGCCCCTGATCAGCACCTTGACGGGCATCGTCACATGGAAGAACCGCTCAGTGGCCGTCCCTTGACTGCTGTATTATAATCCCCGGTCTCACTTCCATGCACTTCCCATCAAGATTTCCAGCATCCTCTGACAGTTGCCTTTGCGTGCGTGCCTTTGCTGGGCATAGATTTTTTTAAAGCACTGCATCGAAACAACCTGCCTTTCAAGTCAACCTACTAGGTCGGATTGCTGGTCGGCCTGCTCGTGGTCTCTGCAGTCTTCTTCTGGGCAGCCATTATGCATCTTGGCTACTTCAGGTGGCTTTCCAGGGTGTTGAATTCGCAAGATCGGGAATGCCAGGGTTGCTCTCTTTCGTAACGTTCAGCAGCTCATCCGCAGGCATATCATCAAGAGCGACGAGCAGGGCATGCTCTCTCGCAGCCAAGAGGTTATCATTCTGGTGCTGAGGAGCGCTTGTACGCGTAGAAAAAGACTGTATATGCTGCATGGTCATTAGTTGTATCACCTGTGTGCTTGTTACCTGAGAGGGAGGCCCAATTCGGCAACATGTAAGCTGGCCCAAAGTTGATGCAACAAAACTGTTTTGGGGCATTTTGAGGACGCCAAAGGATGCCTTGCTGGCATGTGGCCTTCAATCAGTATCCCAGCCCCGGTTCTCAGCACACTAGCTGCAGGAGCCTGGACAACTTCATTGCGGCCATCATCACGATTGTGGTTTTCCTGTGTCAGGCTTGGACCCCGTTTCAGTTATATCGCGTGGGTCTTCGCACCGTGGCCCTGAGTAGCCGGTGCGAGCTGAAGTTCGGGCTTAAGTTTCTCCCGGCACTGCCCCAAAACTGCCTTACAGAGCCTTGCAGGCTTGGTGGATGGCGCACTTCTCCTCACTGACGAAGATCATGCAGAGACGTGGTCGCCAGCCACTTCGGCTCCAAGAGTTCACACGAAGGGTTGCTGTCAGAGGCAAGCTAGACCAGCAGGCTCCAAAGCAAAAGTTCCAAACGCTTCAAAAAAAAACAGACAGGAAGCTTTTCCAGCAGCGCAAGAACTCGAAGTTGAGGGCTGTGGCTCCATGTGGAAGCCAGCGTCTTCAAGTCACAATCTCTCGCAGGCGTACAGCTCCAAGCAATTGGGCCTTCTTCAAAGAGGACCCAGACCAATCCGAGATGCTCAAGTGCCCAAGCTGGCATTGCGGCATTACGAGGTTACTTGAAGGGCTTCACCGGCAAGTAGGCAGATTAGTCCCAGTCACTTGCTGAACTGCATTGTGCAAAGATTCCTACTAGTAGGTGCTTTCTTTCGTGCAACAACTTGGTGGGATTGTCGAATTATGACCTGAGGAACCTCCTCAGCAAGGAAGCCGAGCAGTACCCCCATGGGATGTTCCACCTCCCGCACATGAGCACCGACGCGAGCGCCGCCTATGCCGCGCACTACAATCGGCAATGAGGATGTCACTGCCGGAGTTCCGCCTAAGTCCCAGCGTGTGGCAGGAGACATTGTTGAATGTTTCTGCCCCCACAAACAATTCTTCAAGAGCCCATGGCTAGTTCACAAACCTTGCTGATCCCGGCGTCCCAAGTTGTCCCAAGTTCTGTAAGGCACTCTGATCCAAGGCCCGGCCTCAGCGGATAAGTTCATCATAAGAGCCTTCTTTTGTATCATGTCCATGGGCGAGTTTCGCGTTGACCGCGCTGACATTCAACAGCTGGGCTTTTTCAACTCTCTCATATCTCACAAAGTTGGCTTGGAAGGTTGTTTAGCAGTAATTAAACCAGCCACTAATACGTGGCGATTGTGTCACCCTCGTGCTGCAGAACTGCAAGAGGAACGGGAACTTGCTGAATAGCTAAAAGCAGTGCGACACCTGCTCATACCTGCCAAGGAGCATGGGGATATGTTCGGAACTTAGATCCCTGGAACCCAGTACCGAGAAGCCGAAGCCTGAACTGGAACCGTGTTCACATTGAAATGTGTTCTCCGTTAGAGGCTTTTCGTTGCCGTCCCTACGGCTCAAGGTCTTAGCCGTGTGGTCAGATTCAACAGTCGTCTTATGACATGAGTCCTACTTGTAGCGCTCTGGAGACACTCCCAGCACAGCTTGCATTGTTATCATTAGTGTTATTCTTATTCTTGCTACCGATGTTGATATTCTTATTGCAAGTCTTGCTATTATTGTTAGTAAGACTGTAAGATGATCAGCCGAGCCAAGGTATCTTGCGACCCCCACTGGCAGCCTAACACACCAGCTAACATGACACACCATGTCTAACCTCATGCTGCTCCCTACCCTGCATGACCCCACATCCAGATACCATGCCCCTGAAATTGAGGGGTTTGCTATGAGCCCCTGAGTCATGGCGCCTACTGCCAGCGCTTGGGCGACCCACGTGGAGCTTGCGCATGAGGCTGCCCAACATCCGGTTGGGTGCTGGGAGCCCATATACTCCGAGCTCCAGAACTCCTTGTCTCACGCTGGGGCCTTTTTTTTGGGACCCGCCCAAATCTCTCTAAGAACCTGAGAACCGACCCTCCACAGCTCTACCGCCCGAGATCCCCAATCGCCAGAACCCCAACGAAGCCTCGTTGAAGGCAGCAGGCGAGCCCCTGAAGCTCGGGGGACCACTGGGCTTGGAGGCTCTACCAGACCCGATCGGCTTGCTAAGGCTGGGGGGTCCCGGGAAACCCTTCGTCAACATCGATGGGGGGGATCTTTTGAAGGTTTCGGGTCAAGAGCATGGGTTTTGGGTTTTGGGTTTAGGGTGGTTTAGGGTTGTTTAGGGTTGTTTAGGGTTGTTTAGGTTGAAGCTCACAGTTCGAGGGTCCGGGATTGTGGGGTTTTGTTGCCTGCATGAGGAAGTGCAAAATGCAACGGGACTTGATTTCATCCCCTTGCGAGAGCAGCCCTCTAGTTTTGATGCCGTAGCCCGGAACCCTGAGCAGTGTTACTCAGAAGCCTCGCCTGGCATGTCCGGGCACCAATGTCCACAAAGCCCAAGCCACCGGAGCTTTTTCAACATTCCCTGAGCCCGGAACTTAGTTCTACAGGCTGAACCGTGGCGTTCCGGACTGCGTCCGGGCGGCCGCCCGCAGCGATGAGTTTTGCACTGTAGTGCAGGACACACGACCCTGAACTCTTGAGGCTTGAGGGTATAAAGGTGCCAAACAGCACAACTCTACATTATGGGGTGTTGGCATCCGGGATAGTTGTGGCTTTCTTCGTTGTCAATTTCGGACTCCTGCTTGAGGGTTAAGGCGCTAAAAATGTTCGGAAGCCATATCATGCAAGCACGCTTGGAGGCTCACCGGTTTTGAGTCGAGCTGTATTCTTGATGTCAGGCCTGTGCTCTCGAAATGCGACTGGACATAAGGGGCCATGCACCCGACTTCCCGAATAATGAAAACGAGTCTGCAAGAGCCACGCTTGCATTTTTGCATGCGTCTGCAGAATTCAGGCCTTGAGTACACACATGCACGCGCACGTGCGCGCGCACGCGCACGCGCACCCACACCCACACCCACACCCACACACCCACACACCCACACACCCACACACCCACACACCCACCCACCCACCCACCCCCACCCCCACCCCCACCACCCACACCCACACCCACACCCACCACCCACACCCCACACCCACACCCACACCCACAACACACACACACACACACACACACACACACACACACACACACACACACCACACCACACCACACTCACACTCACACACACACTCACACACACACACTCACACACACTCACACACACACTCACTCACACTCACACACTCACACACTCACACACTCACACACTCACACACTCACACACTCACACACTCACACACTCACACACTCACACACTCACACACTCACACACTCACACACTCACACACTCACACACTCACACACTCACACACTCACACACTCACACACTCAACACACTCACACACTCACACACTCACACACTCACACACTCACACACTCACACATCACACACTCACACACTCACACACTCACACACTCACACACTCACACACTCACACACACTCACACACTCACACACACTCACACACTCACACACACACACACACACACACACACACACACACACACACACACACACACACACACACACACACACACACACACACACACACACACACACACACACACACACACACACAGAGGCCTGATCGAACGATGTGCCATCCACAGGAGCCTGGAGCGGCGACTGCCTGGGTGCCGCGGCGGGTCTTCTCCAAGGAGCTGGCGCCATGGCCCTGAAGGATTTTATATAAGTCCGTGTCTCACGTGCAAATCTTAAGTGGGCTCTCACGGGTAGCACGACGCACACTACGAAACGCATTGCGTACGTGACCACGCAACACTTACACAAACCCCAGAGTTCAGAAAAGACACAGGTGCAGTCCGAGGGCGCGGAGGAGGTGAACCCCGGCCAGTCGTGGTGCGCCCTGCGCTTGGAGCCGCGGTCGCCCCTTGGCCCCCTTCAGGCCCTCAAAGGCCATTGTTGGCCAGAAGGGGACATGAAGGGGCTTCTGAGCTGAAACCCCTTGGTGTTGCGACTTGGGAGGCTCGTCAGGCTCCCCCGGATCTTTCCTGGAATAGCCCTGCCAGTCAAACCTGTGGTTCCTGGACCTGGCACCCGGTCTTGCGCATTGAAGGAGCTACGTGGACATAGTGCAGTCCTATAATGACACTCATGGATCCGCTGTTTGCAGAGGTTTCCCTAAACCCTCAACCCTGAACACTATAGGTATCTCTAGGCTCATTTGAGAGTTCGCAGTCGGATCGTTGCAAGAAACGTTCCTGCGCTGAGCCCAAGATGCCTGAAGGCACCCGTGGCACCCCCCACCGCTCAAGATGTGGAGCTGGGCCTGTTCTCTTAGGGTTTAGGGTTTAGGGTTTCAAAGTGCTCTTGCTTTGAACTTTGAGCAATGTTGAACATCAACTGACAGAGGCCGATCCCCTGAAAAACTGCGGAGGTTTATTCATGCCCTCAAGCCTACTGATCACATGTACGCAATGAAAGTTCCGAAAGGAGTTGTCTGGCCGTCTGGCCAACCTCGGGGTGCTGTCACTTAATCTCCAAGCTTCATCATTCTAGAAGTCACGATGTCCTCCAACATATGGGGGTTTATGAAATCAGGGACCCTATAATCGCCACCCCAAATTGTAGCATTCCCTTGTAATAAAGGTACCCCTAATTTCGGAAACCCCAAACCCTAAACCTATCATCCCCGCTTTGCTGTGGCTAGTCGGGTGCCAAAAAAACCCGAAGCATATTCGCAGCCCAGGCCCAGCAGCTTTAGCCTCGCTGGACCGCTGTTCCAGACGCTGGCCGCGGGCTCCGTCCGCGCGCGGCTCCTGTCGGCCTCGGGCCCCGCCTCGTGGCCCTGGGTTTCAAGGATTAGGGTTTCGGGTTTGGGGTTTAGGGGTTGGAGGCTTAGCAAGCTTGTCCGAGTCTGGGTTCAAAAGGGTTGGCACCGGAGCTGTGAAGATTGAGATGCCTCCAACACTTCTCCTGACCTACTACTCATTCTAGGGTTTTGGCCTAAATTCACTTCAATCTCTTGCTTCCAAGAATTTCATCCGTCCAGGGGTTGAGGGGCTTCCTTCATAAAGCCCTGCTTCAAGTCTGACAGGGCGGGTGCCCAAGGATTCGGAGAGAAAAAAGGTGGCCTGTTTTCGTGCAAGACATCCATGCTTAGTTCCAGATTTTGGGGCTTCCGGGGGCCCAGGGTCCAAGGGGCGCGGGTCCCAGGGCCATCGAGGTGCCCAAGCGCCGGGCCCCCCCCCGTCCCCCCACTCGCCCCACTGTTAAGGGGGTTGAGCTTATGGTTGAGGAGTTTGGAGCCTCAGCGTATATTCTGGTTTAAGTCGATGCAGGTGGAAGGTGGCCATGTGAGTCATGTGAACACCTACTCGGCCATGCGCCGCTTTAGTTGGGATTCGGGCGATGTGTAGAAGGCTCTCGAGCAGCGATCAAGGTTTGAAAAGCTGTGCTTCATGGCAGCTCAGGAAGTGATCCTAATTCCGGAGTCCGAGCTTCCAGCCGCAGTTGCACTCCTAGTACAAGAGGGCCACGCGTTGTGGCCGTCTACACGCATTTCTGCACCTGTTTGGCGTGACGTCAGCGCTCGTGATCCTGTGGCGAAGGATCTGGCAGGGGTCTGGAGCCTCGTGCAGAGGGAGCAGCCACTGGGTACCACTATAGCAGAGTACACGGATGGTGATGGGCCCTTAAGGCTACAAGCGCCCTCTGGACTTTTCGTGGAGCTCTGCATTCCTCGAAAAAAAGGCCAGAACGACCTGGAGGCCAGCTTCGGAGGCTATTGCCACGTGGAGGCGAACGGCCACCAGCTGCAATACATGCAGCAACGTAGGATCGACTTCCAGCCACCTCACGTGCCTTGGCATATATCTTGGCATGGGGTGGGAAACCAATAGGAACCATTTTAAGAAGTAACGTCAATGAACACGGCACGTGGCGGGTGCTTGCAGGAGCAGAAGCGCCATGTAGCATCTTGTGAGCTCAGGTTGAGGTACCATCCTTCGTGGTGACCCCCAGTGAGGCCTCCATTGAAGTCACAGCCATGGGAGCCAATCCATTCCGCGAGCTTTGGGCACGCGTGGGAGCGGCCGGCACAAGGGAGGTGGCCTCCTTGGAGCTGCAGTCGGAAGTCCCAAAGGATCCCAAGGCCAAGGTGGGCCGTTACGGGCTCTGGGTTTTTATCGGCATGCGCTTTGCAAGGATTCTCGGTCCCTCCCAGGGCCACGGGACCGTTGCCAGTGCCTACTGCCAGTCTCTGGCAAAACTGCGTCAGATTCGTGGCAAGTCAGCTGTTGACAGAGAGCTCAACGACCTTTACGAAGCTGTCTTTGGCGTTGTCGAGGAGCCTGGCCGCCTGCGGATATGCAAGAAGTCCCGGTCCCCCGTTCAGGCAGACACGATGCTTTACGATTTTTCGGATCCTGGCACTGGCAAGATCAGCGTTGGGTCGGAGACCGTCGTGTTTGAGACCTCGGGCGGGAGGACCATGACCAATGGTGCACTCCGCCAGCTTCTTTTCAGGGCCTTATTTCCCCAAGCTCCAAACCGTAGTCGCAGTAGAGATAGCGCAGAGGAAACCATGGTCATCCATGGTCGCTGTTTGCACAAAGGCCAGCAGTGACCCCTAAACCCCCCTTGATGCCCTCAGGACAGAGACTTGGCGCATTGTCGACTGGACCTTCGAGCCTTGTCCGAAAGTATGCTCAGACAAGCCCAGGGATTTGTTCATGCGCGTGCGGCAGGGTCTTAAGCCTACAGGGTTTTTTGGGGAAGTACAGGGCATCAACTTTGAAGCTTCCCACGTCCCTGCGTGCCAGCAGAATCATGATGCCTGAATATTTTTTTGTGGGGCTGGTCTGAAGCTAAAGGCCCAAGTGGGCAGAGTTTTGTAGCTCTCTTGTGAGGTTGTAGGTATATCATGGCCTCTCTGCGTGGACTTTTTTTGGCATCGATATGCAGCAGGAATCAACGGGAGCCTGCGTAGAACCGCGCAGGTTGCGGTCACGAAGAGCATCATGTATAGGACATCTCGTCTGGATAACCCCGAGCCCTAAAAGTGCCAGATTGAGCGGGCAACAGGCCTGATCAAGAGATGAGGGCTACAGGGAATGCTCTGACGTTGTCAGCCCTTTGACATCAAGAAACCCGAAACGAACCCTACACCGTGAAGTTGGCCGGACCCGGAACAGGCCAAAAGACCTTGTGAGCACACATCACACAAGTCGTCTCTGCAGCTAATATGGTTGTCGGTGCTAGCAAACTGGATGCATTCGGACTTGTTTCACGTGGCTACGCACTATCCACCCTTTTCAACGTGGCGGCTGTGTCGCTGTATCCCGTTGTAAACATGAGTTGATATTGAAGGGACCTGAAGGGACTAATCACATCCAGAACCCTAGACTGAACTACTCATTCGAAATTCTTCCAGACTGAAGTCAACAGCCTTCAAGAACGATTCAGGCTGAGTGCTATACCTTCTTCCTGGAGAGTAGCCTCCAGAACCCATGACCCTTTGGAGACGGATCCTAAGGACCCATTCACGCGTGCGGCCTCTCCTGCACCCTCGCGAGCCACGTCCCTTGCGCCGGACTCGGAGGTTCGCAGATTGTTTTTGGGCTGTTTGGCGGTTTGTGGGCGTGGTCTGCGAATTCATTTCAGTACCAGGGCGCTGAACGTCTTTGCATCTAGCCGTACAGCGAGAGTTTGCCGAGTTTGCTTCGCGCTGGACCAAACGCAATTTAAGTTGAGTTCTTTAATGGATCAGGACATCTAAGGAGCCAGCCGCATGCTGTTGAGTGAGACAGGGGTGATGGCGTGTAGTGTGTGGTCGATCCGCCTCCGCCTCCGTCTCCGTTTCCTCTCTTAGGGTTTAGGGTTTAGGGTCTGGCTCTCTTGATATTAATCGGGGCTGTGGGCGTTTTGATCTACTTCTCGCGGGTCTTGTTGTTATTGTTTTTGTTCTCGTCGTTCTTTCTTGTTCTTGGCACCACATGCCGCCGCCCATAGCAGCCCACCCCCCTCTTGGATTTTGAATGCTTAGGGTACTACTACATGCTGCCTGGAACCCCTATGGCTCTGTCAGGAAGAGCCTGCAGCCACCTCCATTGCCGAAGAAGATGACGAGGAAGAGGGCATGGAGGTCACAGCCCAGGCACGAAGGAGCAAGTGCTTGCCAGGCCTCCTTTCCGATTCTGGTTCGTCTCTGGTGGGCTGCATTCGTACGGTTCTACACATCTTCAGCCCAGCATGCAAGTCAAGCCTTAAGAATCACAGTATTCCACTGAGTGTCGTCCTTGGCCGAAGATGAGGAGCCCACTGATTGTTTCTTTTTGCCCAGTCTCCTGCTAACCCTTATGCTCCACAAGTGCACCACCTGTCAAAACAGGGCCACGACCCTGACCCTGACCGGGAGCTCACCGACATCGGCGCCGCGGCAGCACAGAGATCGATCTCCCGCATCTGGTTGCGCCATCTCACCTCCCGTCCTTGCCCCAGTCTTCGGGTCGGAAGTCCTTGAAAGTACAAGGTTCCCATCCTCTCCTCATTTTACTGAAACAAATCATTCTCGCACCCTCTGGGACCGGTACCTGTGACTACGTCATAGCAAAGCCAAGAGCAAATAAGAGCAACCATTAGCAGTTTGAGGTGGTCGACTCGGTATCGGCGCAAAGGAAGCAACATGCATCCAGTCAGAGAGCCATGAAAAGAAAGGAAATCAGAAAAGCACCATCAAAAGCACATACTGTGCACCAGGTAACGGTGGCCAACATTTTCTTCAGGTTGATGCTGAGCACTAGCACGGATCCTAACGACATCTGGCAACATAAGGTCTGTTGGGACCCACATCACAAAAACGCTCACCAGGCGAACCCTCCGAGGAGCAGGAGCCGGAGCCCGTGGTCGAGGAGAAGCGCTCCTGCAGCACTTGAGGTGAGTTTTTGGCTTGGGGCTTCCGAGTCTTGTCTATGCTGGGGCTAGTCGAAGCAATGTTCTCCGAAGAACCCTGAAAGTCCTACATTTCTCCAAATAGGTGCTCTGTGCCACTGGTGCAGGTTGCGTAAAAAGAAAGTACGGAGGTCCTGGTTCAGCTCTGCAAAGCATGCTTGACAGGGCTAGTGGGCTGATCGTGTCAGACCAGCCGCTCTCTGAAAAAGAAGAGCTTTCTCGGTTGAGTTGGGTGGGGCAAGTCTGTTCTCGTGGGGGGTTGGATGCTCCGTCTCGACCACACAATTGATCGCGAACCTCAGGAAACATGTCGCGTGCCACCGGAGAAGAAGACAGGCAGCGACGACAACCTGAAATCTGATTGGTGTCCAGGAGCAACAGAAGGAAACACGCAAGGAACAACATCAACAGTTGTGGGCTGGCGAAGTGCACGAAAGCACGCCCACTACAACAGGCGTACGAAGATGCACGTTCCACCAGATTTCAATCCAACTATCTTGTGCACATATCCAACCCTACAGCAGAGTTGCCCACACCCTGACCACCCAAGCGCCCGAGAACACAAGGCCTGAGAAAAAGAAGAAGGCTAAGCTCATGGGCCGAGAGGATGCCGAGGTCGAGCACCCAGTGAAGGCAAAGAAGAAAGGCACGGGCCAGGGAGAGGTCATAACAGTACATGGTAGTGGTAGTGGTGGTGGCAGTGCCTTTCCGTTTCAGCAGCTTTCTCAAAGCACTTAGCACCCCAACCACCCAATGTGGACAGAAAAGAAGCAGAAAGACTTCGACGATGATGAGGATGTTCCAGCGGACAAGGAGGCCGAGTCAAGCATTGTCAGGTTTTGCATGCCAGTTGGGTTCGGTGCTACTTGTGGTTGTGGCTGGTGCTACTTGTGCTTTGAAGAGGAGGAAGAAGGCGAGGGAGACGACGAGGAGGACAGCATTGTTATCTGTCAAGCTCTATCTCCAACCGCTGGGTCAACATATTGCTGCCAACCTGCCCAAAACTTGAACGCTGGAGAAGCCTGTGCACACCAAAATGCCCAAGGGGTAAATTTCCAAAACCCAGGGCCCCAACACTCTGCCAGAGCTTGAGCAGTCCGCCTCCTCAAGCCGTTTAAACGAAAAGGAGGGCGCTGCCAAGAAGAAGAAAAAAAAGAAGAAAAAGAAGCACAAGGAGCCTGGGCCTTCTAGCACACGAAAAAGGTGCGAGGGCTGTGGTGTTTTGCCAGTCTTGAGGATTGGAGAGTCTCTTTTCGGGTGATTTGGAGTAGCATGTCTTTGCCTGTCTGTGGGGATCTGGCAATCACGGGTCAAACCCGAAACCCTCAGCCCAAACCCTAAATCCCTAGTATCCGGGGTCCTGAACCTGGGGCCGGCGCATGAGATGTGAGGACAAGAAAGCCAAGCTAAAAGACAGCCAGTGCGACGAGGAGGCCCAGCGTGGAGGGCTTTGAGTTTCTGAAGAGCCTTTTTGCTGCGGTTTGAGCCGTATCTTTCCAGCACACCCGCGAATCATCCTTGCATTTCGATGTTTTATGGTCTTGGCAGAGATCTTTACATTCCTCCATGCTGACATGCTGAAGTTTAAACGTGGTTTGCCGCCGGCTTTGTCGCACAAGACCCTGCACGTTTGATGTCAGTCGTATTGTGCAAGCTGTCAAATTGCAGGATGCTAGTTGCGAGGACGAGGAAGCGGCGGAGGACCCTGATCCCTGACTGCAAGATTCGTTGTTTTGTGCCGTGTACTTCGCTCCTGCAGAGGAGCTCAAAGCCAAGAAGGAGAAGAAGTCCAAGCACAAGAAGGACGGTGAAAAAAAGCAGAAGAAGGATGGCTCTGAGGTTAAACGGCTATTGCTTGCCCCAATGCTCCAGTTGCTGCGTTCATCTCCTCCCCCGTTGTGGTCTACTCGCATTCTCGGTGGCAAGGGACGCCTCCAGCTAAAAGAAACCTCAGGAACCCACACCCGGTGGTGCGGTGGCAAGCTGTCACACTTGTATCAAGCTGTCATTCTCCATCAGAATACACTTTGCGACTATGGTTCCTTGTTGCTCCATGTCCCCTTTCTCCAAAACAGCAAAATGGTCTGTGCCTCACAAGTCGAGAAGAAAGGTCAGGGACTTCCATCTTCAATGTTTCTTACTGGTAGGAGAAGAAGTCAAAGAAGCTCAAAGCACGGAACGCCTTGGCGCAAGAGGAGGAAGAGGAGGAGGCCAGGGTTCGGATCTCTACGGTTTTTGACTCATGTGGCAGTCTCCGAAACTGGGGTACCTATAAGGGAATCCTACTACTGGCGCTCTATGTTAGGGGCCCCCAATTTTCGTGTACCCCCATGTGTTTGTTTCTGAGCCCTAAACCCTAAACGCTCAGGCTCCTGAGGATCCTGAGTCTGAGCCCGCCGAGGAGCCATCCGACGAGGCGGATGGGTGCTGCTTTCCAAGACTAGGATACCAGGTACCCTTCTTCCCTTTTGTTGGGGGGGGGGGGTTGAGGTTCCTTATTATAAACCTCTTTAAGCAAGAAAGGGCAACCCAGCAACCTACTGTAATTTTGAATGGGAGTGACACTGAGGCAGAACATGCACCCAGTTTTGATTCGGACCATAAGGGCACCCTCGACATGCTGACATTCACTGTGTGCTTGCGACATGGTTTCTGGTACATGACGTTAATTGAGGAACCCGGCCGGCGTGGGGCTGAGCTCCGCAACATGCGGCTGCGAGCGCGCGAGGACGGAAGGGACTTCGGGTTGTGCCTTGGTGTTGTTTTTGGGTGTCTCGGGCTTAAGAGGGTTAAGGCTCGCAATGCAGCAAAGCACTTTGCGGCAGGCAGCCTAGGAGTGGAGTGGAAAATTGACCGAGGCTAACAAAAGGCAGCACCTCGGGCCGAAGCTTAAGGTGCCAACCCACTTAGGGTTTAGGGTTTAGGACAGGCTTCAGAGGTCCGTGTTAAAAAGGGTTCAGGGTTTAGGGTTTAGGGTTTGCACACTCCGGGCGCGGACCTCAGAAGCCTGTTGCAAAAGGGTTTAGGGTTTACGGTTTAGGGCTTAGTAACCCTGATCCCTATACCCTGAGCAACAAACAAGAACAAGCAGCACCAAACGACGACGGGCACGACGAAACGAAGAACGAGGACCGACAGACCAACAAAGAGTAACTCCCGCCAGGAGAGGCAGTCTAGGAGGTTTCTTGCCGATTTCGAGAAGTTGCGGTTCCATCTTGATCGAACGGATGTGGCAATTGGCATGTCTTTTGGCATCTGTATCCGTATAGATATGAAACGAATCATGGAAGCTGCGCTGGCAGCCTGCATGTCTTCTGGCTCTCGGCATACCTCCTTGCCAACAAGAAGGCGTCCTTCAGGCCGCGATCCCTCTGCCTCTAAAGCTGGCGTTGGCATACCACCTACATCAAACAAACCGACTGCAGTGTAAGACTCAGCTCGGAAGCCGAGACGAACAAAAACACATGAAGCTTGGAGCTTCCCACAAAGCGCGCCTTACCCTGCACAGGAACGCGAAGTGACGCTCAAAGCCATGCGAAAATCTCGTCAGGAGGCAGGTGGTGAGGGTGGAAGGTTCGGGGATTTGGGTTTGAGCCAAATTTTCTTGTCTGTGGTCGGTGCTTGGGCGGCTTTGCCCGAAGAGGTGTTTTGTGGCACATCAGAGGTTCGGGCACTGTTCGGCTGTGTGTTCCGGAAGAGCTTAAGTCGTGTCTGAAGGGCTATCTGAGGAACAAGCAGTCTGTTGGCAACGCCGGCTTTGCGCAGAAACACATGCCTTCTGAGCCCTAATTCCTGACCATACTTGCTATACTGCAGCAGGCCGAAAGTTCGTCGTACTTACCACGTAAGGCAGGACAAGACTTTCCCCTAGACTCCTGCACTCCAGGGCCCCAGGTCCTCCACTGGAACAAACTCGTAGAACAGATTTGTCCCGGGGATGAATTCCTCCACTAGCCAGGCTAGGACGGAACCACAAGAGCGACAAAGCTGTATTCCCGGTCTTGTAATTCTTTGGCCGGAGGAGAATGGTTCGCCGGACGTGCCAGTAAAGAGCAAGGCCAGCAAGACGAAGGCGCGCCAGCTTCGTTGCTCCTTCGAACCCCCTAGCCTGGACTTGGTTTGGGGTTAGGGATTAGGGGCTAGGGCTATGGGGTTTAGGGTTTAGGGTTGAGGGTTTTAGGGTTTGTGTCGCTTGTGTCGCCTTTGTCAAACTATCGGCTGGCGAGTTTGGCTCATGCGCCCTTTTGTGGAGAGCATCCCTGCCCCAAATTCACCCGTGACGCTCCTACTGAAGGCAAAGCTGAAGGAAGCCGAGGATGTGCGAAAATCAAAAGAATTGAAAGACAAGAAACCCAAGGTCGGCAATAGCTCCAAGATTCTGATTGAGGAGGTTTCGGGGCGCATGCGCTGCAAAACCTTGTGCGAGTGCCGTGTTGATGTGACTGTACTTTTCCTTCATATCTGAGAAAGTTTCAGTACTGAACTTTGTGGTGCTATGGCGCCGCTGAGAAGCATTCTAGCCATTTTGTCGAGCGTCTTTTCTCAGGTGCGGCTATTTGCCATGCCAAAATTAACATGCAAACAGGGCTCTTACACGACCCTTCGGCTTACGGAGCTGGTGATTCACTCTCAGGACAAAGTCGCGCCACAAAAGGACAAGGACAAAGACACGAAGAAGACAGCAAAAAGGAAAGTCAGCAGCGAGGACACGCGGCGTATCGTTTTCTAAGTGAGGATGGTGAGCTTTCAGTTCTTGTGGGCGTGGCATTTGCAGCAACAAGGGTTCATGAGGATGCTGAAGGATGCTGAAGTCATAATGCGAGGACTTTGTTCCGAGTTGGGGCTTTCTCATTGGCTATGGGAAGGCAGGGTCCAGGGTTTCAGCGACTTGCTACACACGCTCTCGACTAGGGCCTGGGCAACTTTGCCTTGGGCAACTTGTATGGAAGCTTAGCCCGAATCTGATGCGAAAACTCGAGGGACTCGAGGGACAGTCATGCAACTCAGACACGAGGAGACCCCTCAGAAGGCACGGAAGGAGGTGGCGAAGAAGAAGCGGGTCTGAGCAGAGCCGGGCCTAATCAGCCTGTGAATGAGGCTTCAGCTCTACAGCCACCCATCTATGCCTTTGCAGCCCCATGCAGCATACGGAATCTGAACGCCCATCCTGTCACGGACAACCCATGCAGCACAGGGAGCTGACAACTCGAAGTCACCTGACAGTTCGAGAATCACTCCCCCGGACCTGAAGCAGTTAGGCAGATTTCGGGTGCACAGTGGCTGGCGAGCGTCGTAGATCGCAGCTGCTGCATAGGCTGACGAGGCTGAAGTAGAAAACTGGCAGCGCCGAGCCTAGGGGTAGGGAACTTGCCCTGTGGGCACTCTACTCCGCTGATTCAACTCAGACCTGCACAGGGGCCTAGACGACATTGAGCACTGCACTGGGACATCTTTCGGCTTGGGTCCTGATGGGTCCAATGGCTGTTGACAGGATTCCAGGCAACTGGGCTCCGTACTACCTTCTTAATTTCAAGTAAATTTCAGTGCTTCAGGAAGACCCCCACCCGTCACTCCAGAGATGTGTGGCCTCAAGCAATGACTCGGATAGGAGCGGCCCTGGAGCATGCAATGCACGCGGCCATAAGAAAGCATGGGTGTTTTTTTTTTGCGCTTGGGAGGGACAAGAGTTTGGAAGGATTGGGCCAGAAAAGCCTGGGCAGGTCATGGGCACAGCTCTCAACACGGGTGTTCAGGCTCGGACATTCGAAGACTTTGAGGTGCTTAGGGCAAGGCGACTGCGAGGCCCTCTGTGGTTTTTTCCAATGGCCCGGCATGGTGGCAAAGCCTGCTCCTCCTTTGGTTGGGCCAAAGGTGGCGCTGTTGTTTGCAACTTGCTTGCAATCATGTGCAGGCTCCTTCTGTGGAATCAGTCCGGGATGGCAAGCATAGAACAAACAGAACAGCATGTACTGCATGGAACCTACACAGAAAACATCGCCCATGTAGCGCCCCGCCGAGTTTTCTGAAGTCCTTCCCACCACAGGTGTCTGGCATTGAGAAATTGCTCTTCGTATGAGAGTCGTAGTTCAGAGTTCTGGAGTGCTGGAGTCCTGCACACTGTGACGGATTCAGGAGTCCCAGGATGAACGAATCTCTCTCACTTTGGAAAATCTAGCTTTGGGCTTTAAGCCGTTGCATTTGCCCGGGGTGCCTTCCCTGCCAAGGTGGCTTGTGCTCCCTGTACTTCACCTACATGTTGGTATCCCTCGTGCCGACTTCACCTGATCATTTGCCGGTGCTTCCAACGAAACCTGTGCCACCTGCAACTTTCAGTGCAAGGTGGCTTGTCGGTGAGCCTGGCCATTCAAACAAAAGTCGCCTTTAGCAATCAACGAGCCACTTGCCAGTGTGAAATCATGCATGTTCCTTGTAGCCCCTCATGCAAGGCTAGCAGACAGGATTTAGTACGGATACTGAGCTGAGAGGCAGCTTTGCATACGGATGTAACAAGCCCAAAATGCAGAGCGATCGCCTGACCATTCAGTCTTGCAGCTCTGTGAGGACCTCCGGAGCTTTGGCGGCCGAGCCCCTGATTGTCTCTGGAAGCCCTCCAGGACTTTCAACAATGCAGAGCTATGTGTTTTGATTCCATGGCCGGGGGCGAGGTGATCATTAAGCAAACTTGTTTTCAAATCACCACCGATGCGGTTACAAGCATTTTGTTGCGCCCCCCTATTGCCTTCCCGTGTTGGCAGACTGCGAGGACTCAGAAGCTTCACATGGACCGGCTCGGCAGGTATGCTGAGGAGTCTGATGCAGTTAGGTGTTCAAAGGTTGTGGAGGGGTCTCGTCTCAGTCTGCTACTCACTCATCCTCTGCACGTCTGCTAAAGCCAACGCCCTCATCAGCAATTCCATGCAATTCCTGTCTTGAAGAAGGATGCGGACCAGCCGCGTTTCGATGGAGTTCATGTCGGCGCGTCTTCACTCTGAGAAATGACCTTTGGTGCAACAAGTTCAGTTTACTTTTGTAGCGTGCTTCAGATAAGCGAGCCTTAAGTGCTTATAAAGTCTAAAAGGTCCCAAACGCACCCAAGCGTAACCTAGCTGACGCCGAGTTGCCCCTTGCATCTTCCTGTCGGACAGTCAGATGGATTGCGGCGGTGCATCTGCAAGCTGGCGGTCACAAGTCTATGAGGCATCCTGGCACTAGGACACTAGGATCACTGGGAGAGCAAATGCTCGGTGGAGAAGATGCACTCGTCCCTTGCTGCTCCGCCCCTCCCCTCCAGGAATTACTCAAGGGCATCAACCCCACACATTCGATAGCAAGAGCAAGGGGTTCTTATTGGATTCGGGCCTGGGACCTCAGCCCAAACCCTAAACTCTGCAGGACAGGTGTGTTCAGTCATACAGCCTTGTGTCAAGGCACGCGTCAGGCGTCTGACGTTGCCGTGTTTCATCTTAGGACAGAATGGCACAGGTGTTGCGGTCATTTTTGAGGTCACAACGTGCCATCACGCGGCAGTGGGGAATACCCAACAACAAACATGATATCCAGAGTTTTTGGCCACCTTGACCCTCATGTCGCATGCCCGCACAAAGTAGCCGCGAATCGTGTTCAAATAGGGGCGCATGATGCGTAGCTCGGCACAACCAGCAGACATGTTAGGGTTTTATTGCCATCGTGGTCCGCTAATAAGATGTGCTAGCTCGCGGCACAGGTGGGTTCATCAGGGGCTGCTCTGCGATGGTGGCTGGACTTCTCTGACACGATCTCCCAAGTGCGCATAGCGGCGTGGCTCCCCAATGCAGCTGTCGAGGGCAGTGTGGATGGCTCCCCTGTGACTGTCCGGCGCCGACCTGCAGTTGTGCCCTTGACCTCGACATGCCAGGCGACGGCAAGCAGCGAGTATCAGGCCCGCGGCGCGGAGAGGATGATCGACGCGGATTACGACACTGAGTGGTTCGCGGCGAAGGGCGAACAGGAGGCTTGGATCATCATGGAGCTTCCGGAGGAAGCTGCCGTGGAGTCTGTGGCCTGGACGTGGTGGGCCCAATCTATGGCGGATGAGTGGTCTCTCTCCAGCCGCCGGCAGGCAACAGGTCCCTGGACTGAGCGCTCTTCTAGCAAGTCGAGCCCCAAGCCCACCAGCAACTTCAATGCCGAAGTCCATGTCAGTGGCTGGCAGGAACCTTCCAGGTATATCCGGCTCCAGATGCAGAAGGGACACCAGGATCCTTGGAACTTTGGGGTCTTCTTTGGCATACGCTCCTTTTCGATCTGGGGCCGTGATGAGTCGGCACCTTCTGGTGCTTCAGATCTCTGGCAGGAAGGTGCCCTGGGCTCATCAAGGATCCTCTCGCGGGATCACTGGACTGCTTGAAGTCACATGGGGGTTATAGACCCCCTAATAGTAGGATTCCCTTATAATAAGGACCCCAATAGGGTACCCCTACGCAGGAAACCCTCACATGCGACCACATGCGCAGTGAGAACTGCAGTTACACCACATGAGCAGCAGCTCCCTGCAAGGTTCCAGCCCTGCGGGACTCTGGTTTGCCCTGGAGCATCCGAGAGCGCGCTGCAACGTGCAGGGCCACGCCACTGCCCAAGAGCCTGTTTCCCCAACAGGCCCGGTGTCCTGGCATTCGTTTCGGACAGGGAAACCGCCGGTGGCATCGCTCATACGGTTTTCTCATCTTGGCTTGCCTTGAACACTGGCAGGAACATAACCGCCACAACTTGTGGACTGGGTGGTTGGCTGTGGGTAGAGCAAGGATGATCACAACATGTAACTTTGAGAGTGTTCGGGCTACCAGAGAGAGACGATTCTAAGTGACTTTAGTGCCTCCACCCCGCGTCTTAGTCAGCACTTCAACAGCTCCGTTCTCGCTGCTGTGCGTTCATCAGCCTCATGCCTTCAAGGGTCTGAGCGGCATGACCGAGTAATTGATGCTTGAGCAATAAGAGCGAAGGGTAACGAAGGGCGCTTAAAGACCGTACACCCTCAACCCTGAAGCTTGCAACGTCTCAGGTTTGGCGAAGGGTAGAGTGCACGCTTCAGCTGTCCGAGAAGCCCACAGGCAACGTACAGGCCAGACACCATTAGGCTTGCGCTGCAGTGCATATACAGCTCGCGCCACTGTTGAATCGACTGATCTCATTGCTGTGCTTCCTTCACCTCAACTCTACAAGATGAAGCTGCTCGTTCAGCCGCAAGGGATGGTAAGAATACAGCCAGTGCTCGGGTCTTCTCAGCTTCAGGATAATTGAACCGGAGTCGTATGTTCAGAACGGAGGTCAGTGATATGCGAGGCTTTCTGGATGTAAGGTCCGGCAATGGCCATAAAAGTTGGCTTGGGTACAGGTACTGTGGTGAGGTATGCTTGCCGGGTTAGGACGTTAGCCTCATGATAGGTTGCGCTCGGCATCCACGGACAACATTTGGGTTCGCCACATTGTTCTTGGGTGCCAATCTGTACTACAACAGATGGACACCATTAATCTCCACAGCCTCCAAGACAGTCTGGCCGAGAACTGCCTGACTGCTGCTGCTTTGTACGCTATTTCTACCCTTTTCGTTTCTTACTACGCGGCCTCAATACCTGGTCAGGTCTCTGCATCAGTCGGGGTTTTCGAGGATGGGCAGCGCCTGGGACTACACCTAGTAGTAAGATGCGGTCGCGAGTGCAATCGGTGCTGTGCGGGTAGGTGGCACATTGCTGTACGCCGATACCCAGAATGTGCTTCGCTTGAGGAGGAGAACACGGAAAAGAAGGCCTTGCTTTCTGTTTTCCTCCGTTAAGCGCACCTGCTTCAAGAGAGCGTGGCTGGGCGGCGCAGCCTGCAGCTGGCATCTCATACGAGGCATACCCTCGCGAGGATATCGGATGTCCGCATGCTGCCCCGCAAGAGCATCACGAGATGAAGTGTGGACTCCTGGATTTCGTAGTCTAACGGAGTCCGGTCGTGCTTGAGCTGTTGCTCGCCAAGACGATACATCGCAGGGATGCGCTGGCTTTCTCTGTCCTGCATCTGCGCGTTCACGCTGTGAAAGTGTGATTGAGACCTCAACGTTCAAGTACGTGCCACCAAGCCTTCTACGCCGACTGATTGAAATGCCGGGCTGCCGGGCAAAGCATTTTTTGTCGTGAGCGGCCGGCAAAGGATGTCAACTGCGCGTTCTTCCTTGAGGACAGCAACTGCCCTGCCAAATGCTCCTCGCATTAGGCTGCGACGCCCAAACGCTGAAGCAGGTACGCCCCAAGGAGGAAACAGAAAGCAAGGGCCATCTTGGGCACAGGAATTCGGTGTTTCCTGTCTTTAGTATCGCGTGGGCAGCAATGTGCCCCGTACGCACACAACCACAAACGCACCCACGCCCCCACCCCGCCCCCCCTCCCCCCCCACCGACCCACCCCACGCACCCGCCCGCACCCACACCCGCACCCACACCCACACCCACACCTGCACACCCGCACACCCACACACCCACGGACCCGCACACCCACACACCCGCACACCCACACGCACTCACGCACGCACGCAGACAGGCAGACCGACAGGCAGACAGACAGAGGGGCACACACACACACACAGACATGCGTACACACGCTCACTTATACACCCATGAGAGAATAATTTTCGGTTCTGGTTCTTTTAAGCCGATTTCAGCCGCTTTCGGTTCAGCTTCAGCATCGCCGATTGAGCCAGCCCAGGTACCCGCAGCTGCGGCGCATCTTTTCCCAGTACCTGGAGATGGCGAGAGGTCGACAGTTTGGCCAGACGCTGCGCCTCGGACTTTCTGGCTCGGGTTTCTGTGACATCTTGCTTGCTCGAGCCCCGAGAACTGTACAAGAACATAAAGGTTCTACGCGGGTTCAGTTCTGTTTCTGCTTGCCCTCACATTGAAGGAGAGGGTGTTTTTCAACCAAACCTTCTCTTTATTTCTCTGTTGAGGAAGCACGTGCCCCATCAAGTATCCCAACACCTTGCCGGGCCAGTGGGTCGACATGCATTTGCTTTGAAGATCAGGTTCAGATTGCAGGAGAAATCATGCTGCGTTGCAAACAGTCATCGGTAGCCCAACAGAAGATGCTGAAACCCACCCGTCTCCGAATGCAATGGCCGAGGCACTACAACAGCTGGTTCCTTGGGAAGGATTTCAGGGCATCCTGGACGGTTGTCGGGGCTCCCACAGAGGCTAAGAGTATTGTGCTAAAGATCTGCAAGCCTCCTGCTTCATGAAGAAATTTCAGACATGAGTGATAGAAACCCGATATAGCATCGCCGACTTGATTGCCCAATGGGTGCTCTCGCTGCTTGTATGCCTTGGAGGTAGATGCTGAAAGTTGCCTTCTAGGCGGCCGGACAAAGTCCCAACAGGTGCCACGAAGCCCAAGAACACGATTTCAAAGTTGCAGAAGGTACGACCTTCGCAGCAGTCCCTGCAACGGAGGGGCGAAGCTGGGCTGCTTCTCGCACAAGATGACAGAGGTGCCCGGGCTGAAGCCAGATTTCTGGATGGTCATCGCAACATTATGGTTTTAGAGCACAAGCAGCCAGGCGGCGTGCGAAGAGCGAATCGACACCTTCAATGGAAACCTGACGCTCCACGACGGAAACTCCCTGGATGCATTCTTGCTTCTCGGATTATGTTACAAGAGTGGCCAGACATGAGAGTCTGCCCATGAACTTGTTGAGGTTGGATGATGGCTGGGACAACTCCGACAGCTTGTGGGAAGTGGACAGGAGTGTTGCGGGATTCAGGTTTCATGCCAGGGCAACCCCGAACCCCTCCGGGACCCCTCTTGGAGCTGAAGGTTCAGCTGGCTTCCGCTGCCTTTCCGGCCCCTCCCCCCCCCGCCCTTGCTTGAGACTCCTGCCGTCATGGCCCATTCGCACCTCGAACATGATCTCGGCGCTTTTGTAGCCGCTGCCTTTCCTGACGGTTTGTGAGAAGCCGTGCTTCAGATACGAACGCCGGACATGTCCAAAATAGAGCGTTCTACTTTCTTAGCCAACTGCGCTCGCTCCAGGAAGAACTTTCCTGGAGGCTTTTCTTCCTTGGTCCGGCGTGGCACAAAGTGGGGCACGAAGACGCCCGCAGAGCAGTCTAAGTGGAGTGTCATGACCAGGTTGCGCCCAACCGTATCGAGGGGACTGGCCTATACATCTCACAATGCGCTTGGCTGCAAGATAAGCTGCAGCATAAACCTCCAATCAAGCGCCATACGAATCCGAATTGGCGCTCCATAGGTTGTGAGTACACTGTCTGACCTAGTGGATCAAAAGTCGGGTCCATGAGCGCCGACACCTTCAATAAGTATGAGATGTATTTTGTGTTTCTCTCGCTCTCTCTCTCTCGCGCACTCTCTCCCTTTGTCTCTCTCCCTCTCGCTCACTTTGTTCCTTCAGTTCTTTCGGTCTCTCTCGCTCTCTCTCTTTCTCTCTCTCTCTCTCTCTCTCTCTCTCCCTCTCCCTCTCTCTCTCCCTCTCTCCCTCCCTCCCTCCGGCATGTCGAGCATATGCACCAACATGTCATCGACTTCTCTTGTACTCCATTGCCCAGCGTCATAGTCCAAGGATGGGCGTTTGGATGTCGCCTTTTGGAGGACCCGCAGACAGCTCGGCAGCCAACTTACAAGCAGGCTGAGAACGAAAGCATCATAGAGAGTAGGGTTTAGGGTTTATCATGGGAGCACCCTTGGGTCTGGGGACCCTTTTTAAAGATCCTCTAGGGGAATGCAAGGGTATTATAAGGGCCCTGTTAGGAGTTCATGACGTGGACCTCTTAGGGGCACATCCTTAGGGGTCCGAGTAGCCGGAAGTCCTCATTTGTGCAGAGTCCGACTGTTTTTGTCTGCTTCGGATGTTTCTGCGTACTCAGAACCAGGGAGGCAACGAACCATGACTAAACCATATGCATGCTGTGCTTTTCTTGCTTTCTGAGTTCTGACGCACAACCCAACTGGTCTCGAAGAGTGTATGCAAAACACCCACAAAGCTTATAAGCCCTAAGCACAGGATACGGAGTCGCAGGCGGACGCCGCGTCCGCCACGGTGTCTCCCACGGCTTTGAGTGGCAGGGCTTGACGTGGGCGTTAGGGTTTTCAGGTTTTGGGGAGTGGTTTGAGCAGTTTGGGGTTTGCATTTTGCGGTCTGACGGCGGCGTGCTGCGCAACGAAGTGCTCCATGGGGCTCAATGCTTTCTGGCTGATTTCGTGAAACCTCCCCTGCCTCCACTAAACTGAGCATGAGCTTGTAAGTTTCCGTCCATCATTCCGCACTTCTTTGGCGTGGAGCCGAGTTCAGGCGTAGCCGTCGTGGAGGCTTTGCGTTGGCGGGCCAGAAGCACCTAGGATCAAACTGGAGCTCAATGGCCAGGGCTTAGAGAATCGGGGCTTCGGTTCGAGCGACCGGGCAGGGAGTTTGGATTTGTTCAAGCCTGGAGCATGATGGACGAGCCGACATTGAGTTCAGGATCTTGAGGAACTTGAGGGTGGGAGTCTTGACAGACCTGAAGGAGGCCAGGACAGCTTTCACGTTGTCCAGATTGCTTGTCTGGGATGGGAGGGGCTGATGGCTTAACCTGTGCAAACTCAAACAATGGGATTTCGCAGTCTCTCATCCTGACGTCATCCAAGCCCGTGCTCTTAGCCGCAATTCGCAGCCTCAACCCTTGTTCAAGCATTGTCCTTCCTGGTAAGTAATATTCAGTTGAATGATCGTGTGCCTCAGGTACTTTGCAAGCTTCCGCTCAGTGGTTCGTGACCGAGTCGCTGAAGGAGGGCATGCGCCTCACAACACTCACAATTATGAACACTAGGATTAGTTGATTGCCCCGTGCCTTTTTGTACTTGTAGGTCAACCTTGAGAGAAGCTTAAAGCGAAAGCTCGCAGGAACAAATCCGGTTCCAGACGTGTCACACAGCAGTGTAATTCGCCCCCAGTTCGCCTCCAGCTGACCTCCTCACCGCACACGTACCCGGCGAGACAAGAGGTCCAGTAGGACTCTTCCCAAGAATTGAGCGCTCGAGCTGGACTCTGGCTCCAGAAGGTCGGCGCAAGACTTGCGGGCCGCTGGTTTTAACGCACACGTCCAAACCTCAAGTCCACCGATCTCCAGCAAATCTCCACACGACACAAGTGCTAGTCCTGAAGTATTGCTTGAAGCTTGCCCATGCCCTGGAAGGCTGAGCCTTGTACCCGAATTTGAGACATGTAGGATTCCGGCTCTTCAAGTTCGATGGATTGGGTGGTGGCCTGGGACAAAGTGGCGGCGAGGAGGTTGCATGGCTGCAATGGTGCGGGGCTAAAAATCATGCTTGGGCTGACACAACCGCATGTGGAGTCCTGCACCTTGCTTGTTCTGAGATCCCTGAGTGAGAGCAGGATCGTGATGACTTCGAAGCCATGCTAAGTCTGATCCAGGACCTCCTGAAAGCCTAAACACACTGTTGAATGCGTCACAGTGTTCCGAGCGCAATTCACAGTTCTGCACGATGCATCTACCCATCCCGGCATGCATGTGCAGGATGTGCGGTCGATGGGCAACACCGAGGTCCCACTCTGGATCAGTTGCCATGGCTGCATTGTGTTTGCCCCTCTCACAATAATCATGCACGATAGAATGAAATGTAATGGTCTGTTTTCTGTACCAGGCACTTTTCCTCCTTTGTACACTACTGGGACAGGCCTAGCAAAAGACATGGGACTTCGATCCCAGAATGAGATGCATCGCATCCCCTGAACGATGTCGAGCCGATTGAGCCTAAGCATCTTAGACGAAATGGGATCGGGACCTTGCAACTCGGCGTGCTCGCCCGTGCACGTTGCTGCGCAGCGTCGGCCGGACGCACGCCCCTGAGCTCGAATGCAAACTCCAAACCCCTCATCCTTCAACATCCCTAAGCCTAAGCCCGGAACCTGGCGTCTTGGCCGCTGACAGGCGGGTGCACGTGATCCGAGTATTCTGTAGGCGCAGCTTCCGCAAGCTCCGTCTCGCGTTTCCTTCGTCTGACTTTGCTTCATATTACACGGTTCCCTGCGATGGTGTTGGCTTGGGGCTCTGTGCTGGGGCGCTACCATTCTTCAATGAACATCGCGGCCGACCTAAGGATTAGCGGGAAGCTCCTTTGAAGGTCATGCTCCATCACTTCTTGAGCTCTTTGCCATGTCGGCTTCCATGCTGGCCGTTGGAGGGCCTTCGGGGCTGCATGGGCTGCTGCATTGAACTCCATATGACTGATATGCGAGCAGCATCCTGGGGGACGTGTTTTTTTCACGTACCGGGGTACCTTGAGGGTACCTTGATGCCCATGACCACTCAGGCCTCGCATGCAACTTCTTTGGAGCGCGAGATGCAACTTTCAAAAAGATGGAACGGCAAAAGAGCGGCGAAAGTGATAAAGATCCAAGGGCACAGGTGAGCTGAACAAGTTTAGGTAAGTTTAGGTGTTTGTGTCTGCAGGTGAGATTCAACAGGCCAAGCGGACGGCATCTGCTCTGTACGGCTCAGGGAGCTCCCGAATAACCTAGTGCCAGGCTAGTGACCTGAACCCATCTCTCGCAGTTGCCACAGCACAACGGTTCCAGCAAAGAAGGAGTCCCTGTACACAACCCGAAACCTTAAAGCCTAAACTCAGCCCTAATTGTGCTTGCTTAAGTTCACAGGCCTTTGGCCTCTTCTGGGTTGCCTCAAGTCGTAGCCCGCAGGCTTGACCATCGGCACTTGGCCGTCTCCTTTCTGGTTGCTCTGGGGGGAACCCAAGCTGCATCTGCACTCTTGTTCAAGGATCTTGCCCGTCGGAGTCATATTCGAAAAAAGGAAGTGTCGAAAGAACCTATAGAACCTTCGGCCAGCTCCCACCTGAATGCAGAAGCCTAGCATGAAGCAAAAACAGGCTCCTGACAAACTTGCTGCGCCGTTCTCTGTGCTACACGTGACGATCTAAAGACGCAGAAAAATTGTTAGCGCGACCTGTGCCTTGGACTCAGACAGCTGTGCTAGGTCAATAATTTTGACGGGGCTCACGACCTCCCAGCGATTGATCAAACGGGAATGTCAGTCCTTCAAACGTCCCAGCAGATCCAGCGACCTGACACGAGGACTCTATCTGGCGAGACGGTCCGGATGTGGGCGCAGAAGGCTCCTGGCATCGATCTTGCAGTATCTGCCGGCACTGAAGCATGCAGCATGTTGCTGAGGAACGGGTGGTTGAGTAAGATGATCTGGGATTGCAGGGCTCCATGATGCTGCAGCACCTCAGGCCTAAGGCCTAAGGCCCACGCTCGAAAAGTGGGAGGGTGCAAGCCAGGGCTTTCGTGAAGCGATGGTGGGGGTGGGAGGCGGGAGGCTTACGACTGCAAGGATGCTGAGATGGCTTGGGCATTGGGGGTGGTTGGGAAATTGCCGCTTCTTCACACCAAAACCCTTGAAACAGCCTCTCGTCACGACTTGTGATTCATTTATTAACAACTCAAATCTGCGCTGGGCCTGGAGGCTTTGGATCATCGCGAGACCGGTGGCTAAATTTCCGCGACGGGGCCTTGCGTCCCTGGGCTGAAGGGCTCAGGGGGGGGGTGTCTTCAGTGATGGCTATAGAGCCACCCCCTTAGCTCGGCAGTCCATGGATTGCGAGGAGAGCTTGCTTAGTACATTCCTGGAGGAGGGCACAGCCTGATCTCTCAGGAAGAGCACAAGCACGCGGTCCGCTCTTCCCAATGACTGCCTTCATGCAGTGCCTTGGCGCTGCTTTGATGGGTCGGGTGCACATGATCTGCAGAGTTTCCAGGGCAGACGATCTGCGAACTCGAACGCCCTTTAGATGCAGGCATGCCGGGGACTAGACCTGTAGAGATGAAATGTTGACGCACAGGAGGCTCTCTCAGGCTTGGCAAGGTAGGGAAGGTTTACGGCTTTGCGGTGGCAAACACACGACGACACCAAAGGCCGAAAGGTGCCGGCCGACCCAAACAGTTGTTCTTCCGGGGGGCGATCTTGCTGCTCTATGTCCGAAACCTGGTAGCTATCCACTGCCCGGTCGAACACACAGGCATCAAGTGAAGGCGGAGCCTGCATGATACTTGGAACTCTGAGAACCGAACTGGGCACCCAAAGCTTTGGAACTTCAGGCACGGCGTGGTTTGGAGCAAATCCGCAGAGACTGGGGCTGAATATGGCTTCGGAATTCAAACGTGCACGGGATGCCTTCGAATGCAGATTCTCAGGGTTGCAAGCAGTGTTGATAGCTTGCACCAGAAGCCCTGGCTTGAGACCTTGCATGTCCTTCCTTTCCTGCGTAGGAGGCTGCCGACATGTGGCCCGCCACTGGTGAGACCCTTCTAGCAGCTGGCCTGACTGAGGGTATCGACACGAAGGTCTCAGGGCCTCAGGGTTTGGGTTCTCTTTTTCATTACAGGAGCATCAGAACTCAGCCTGGCTTTTCTCCAGGCCTTGAATACAGCGTCTGCAAGTTAGAATGGGCAGCTTGTAATCTTCTCGATGTCGGCCTGTGCGTGGCTGGCTGTGTCAACGCGCTTCAGTTCCGCATGAACGAAGAGGGCATGTTTCATGGAGTCTGATCCCTTTGATGGCTTCAATGCTGATCTGGACGTGGAGTTTGCTTGCGTGTTGTATCGGGTTCTGGGTGGCATACGAAAAAGGTTAGGCATGATCAAGCCGTGATTCCCCTCATCACAATGAGCCTTCCATACTTCCGGTTCAAGAACTCTAGACAACGATATCGAGCACCACCATCCCGATGCAGTGGCTCTGGCCATGTCCGGGAGCTCAAGTCCATGGTTCGGCACCTTCTCAGGTGGACTTCTGCAAGGAGGTCATGTCATTCTTCCTGGCCGGCACAGGCCTACAGGACAGGCAAGGGGACCGGGTGTGCGATGGTCACCGTGCCGTGAAGTGTCGAAGTCTGTTGATTTCTGGCCCAGTCTCTATTCTACAATCAGGGATGGGACAAGCTGGCAGGAGCTGTACATTCAGTCGGAGCTGATGACAAGGGACTACTGGAAGGTGCTGGCGGCCACGTCAAGCTTTGCACGGAAGGCGCGCGCGCCGGCCTTCAGACATTGAAACCTGATTGTGGACCCATGCCGCTGTCCGCCCTCATGCGTTCTACGCCCATACCAGTAGGAGAAATCCCCTTAATTATAATATTACATGGGGCTATAAATGTATGAATATTGTGGGTCCCAGAATACTATGTTAAATTAATTACACCCCTTCAGCACTCCATGGCGGCATTCGGCTTCAAAGCTGGGGGGGATGCGGCTTCGACCGAGGTGTCAGCAGTTCAGAGGATGGCCAGCTGCTACTCGTAGCTGTGCATCCATTTAGGCCACCTACAGAAGTCCAGCCCGGAAGGAGCAGAAGCTCCTGCGCGACGCGCATGCCATCGGCGGTGATGTGCGGGGTGTGTATGGTGCAGCTGCCTTCGACGCGACTGGGCGGATTGACTGGGCGGATTGGGCAGATTTTTTCGGGTCCGGGCCGATTGTTTCGGCTTCAGACTGAGTGTGGCCCAGTGATCTCCAGAACTGGGGGTGGGAAAAAAGGCCCTAAACCCCAAACCCTAAACCGTAAAAAAAGGCCTTGTGCGAGTGTGAGAGTCGAATCCCTAAAAAAAAGCCCTAAACCCTAAACCCTAAACCCTAAACCCACGTACACTCTGCATGGACCGTGTGCATGGCCACCACCTGCCAAGTTGCGCCTCCTGACGCCCGGGGATGACAGAGACAGATGTACGTTGTTGAGTGCGTATAGCCACAGACGGCAGTCACTGCTCGGGACATCGAATGCTGAGGATAGAGAGAAGTCTCACCCACATAGCCCTTGCCACATGTTGCTTTCTGGGAGGAAAGGCCGCTCGGGTTGTACTGTTCTGGAGATAGTATTCATACCTGATCTTTGGACGGTTTGCGGCAACCTCCACGTATTTTCGCTAGGTCGCAATGTGCCTAGGAGTAGTCAGTCGGGTCTGATGGGGGAGGCTTGTTTCAAGGTGGAAAGGTGATCGAGGTATACTGTTAGCTATCATGGTTTGAGCCCCTCTGTTGGACACGCCGACTGGGTCAAAGAACTTCTGTCGGCCAATGGACACGCGCCAATTTGTTTTCTATTTGTCTGGGATCGATCAGGGGTCAGCTCTTCAGTATTGTGGCTTGGCATTGAATATCCGTCGGTGGTAATGCTGACCCTGGTTGGTTCGTTACTGGTGGTCAATGCACCCACTCTTGAGATCTCGACAGGACTTGCCTCGCCCGCTTATGCCAGTGTGAGAGTCGAAACCCTAATCCCTAAACAGACTGGCACTGGTTTTGATATTCCCACCCCTCCCTGAAACGCGAAGCACTCCCACCGTTTCCCCGACTTGTCCCTACGGAAGGCGGGTGGCCAAAAAAAAACCTAAACCCTAAACCCTAACCCCAAACCCCAAATCCTACACCCGCCCCACTCTCTTGTCTTTTGGGGTAGGCGGGCGCTGGTCGCGCGCTCAGTGAGACCCTGCGGGGAGCGCCAGGCTGACCTTCCGTTCCCCCAAACCCCCGTGCCCCCTGCGAGGCCCCCGGAGACGCCTGGGTCCCTGGCCGCCGTCCGCTGGGCTGTGGGGACCAGGGGCCGTTTAGTTAAGGCAGGCAGGGCTCTGGCCAGAGCGCCCAGGCTTTGCCCTGTCCCATGCAACCCAAGCTGTCCTGGCTTCCCTGCCCAACCCAAGCCCGCACATTGCCCACATTGCCGCTTTTATGGCTCTGCGCCAATCCAAGTGGTCCGCGCACGTTGCTGCTTGGTCCACACACACCCTGGCCCTGGCTCCCTGGCCAATCTGTTTACGTGGCGCTGGCCTCCCTGGCGCAACCCAAGCGGTCAAAGCACTTGTTCGGTTTTTGTATTGGAGGTCCCCAAATGGGCGTGAGTGCTGACCCATGTGTACGTTGTAAACAAATAAAAGAAGGCTTTAACTCCATGAGTCTTGGGGTGGGTAGGTCGCAGACTACTGCGTGCTCCCAAAGCGCGCTTGCGTTTGGCACGCCCTAAACCCTAAACCCTAACCCTAAAGCGCAGCTTCTGACATGTTCGCAACCGAGGAGGCCGACTCCCGTGGCCTCTTTTGGTGGCGCTTCTGGGCTCAGAAGCTTCGTGGTTTTGCTTGGTAGCCCAGTGGTGCCCTTACTTCTCCCATTTGTTTTTTAGGGATTAGGGTTTAGGGCCTAGGGTTTAGGGCCCCAAGCCCGGATGCAAAACCCAAACAACGTACCCTTATTGTAATATGGTTTCTGGGCCACCAGGTTTGAGATCCGAATCTCAAGAAAGGTCGCAGTGGCATTCTGGGTCGATTTCCGGGCTGGAAAGGGCACGCGACGTAGCTCCTGCTGTGATAATCCAGTTGGCCTTCGGGCACACAGGATGCCGCAAAGCCCGTCGCGAACCCCTTCTTCGAGGGTTCAGTGCAAAGGTGTGGGGTTTCGAGCTGCGAGGTTAGATGCAAAAAAGGGCTTAGGGTTTCAGGGTCATGATGGAGCGAAGTGGGTTGAGGTTTTGGTTCCGGCAGATATAGCGTAGAGCCCGGATGCATACAAAACGGGTTGCCAGGTTTTTACGGCTTAAGGGTTTCCAGGGTTTTACGGCTTGAGGGTTTCCAGGGTGTAAGGTTTACTAGGGCTTAGGGTTGACTTCAAGCCGCATCAGGTAACCCCACGGACGGAGATCAACACGAGCCTTGGCTGGCCAGTTGGCTTCTGGGCATCCTAAACACCCTTGTTGGGGATGTATATTCATGTGCCGCTGGTCTGTGGGAGTGGTTAGTTGCCTTCCGCAAGCGTCCCCCTTGAGACCTTGGATGACAACTAGTGTGGAGTAGGACTCTAGGGACTCATAATAATAGTCATCATCATCATTAAAAATAATATTGATGTAATTAAAAAATATAAAAAGGTATTCTAGTTAGGGACTCTAGGGAGAAGCAAAGTTTGAACCATGCCCTGTTGAGGCCACTTTCCGCCTTGCAGAGGTCCTGGAGCTTCCTTCCCGCCACTGTGTCAAGTTGGCACCAACCTACGAATTTGTAGCGTTTAGGGTTTAGGGCTCAGGCACGGAGAGCTGCGTAACCCTGGTCTGATGCTGAAGCCGGCCCGGCGGTTGAAAAAAATTGAGGCTTGAGGTGGTTGACCCGAGCCTTCTTTCTGAACCCTTCGAGTAGCGCACACGCATCTGGATCGAGTGGTCTTCGTACCACCAGCCGAAAGCAACGACCAGAGCCACCATCGCAGCGCCACATTTCATCCAATCACCTCTCGAAAGTTCCAAGCCTTTAACCACCCGCGGCGTTTCAGTACTTTACAGGGCCGGCCGGGACACTTCCACATGGGGTTGAGGGTGGAGGACTTGATGAGCTGAGGCTTGATTCCAGCCTCATGTTGGAACATCAAGCCCATCCAGCTCGCGCCGCAGGCTCAGACATCCACGCATCAGCGCATCTGTTTTTTTGGCCCAAGGTGGAGGGGATGCATGCGAAGCCGTCTCAATACCAGGTGTCCGGAGCACATGCACACGCCCATGGCTACGTAGGCTAGGCCATGCACGACAAGCAAATCCTTTCTCTGGTCACCGAAGCCGTGTAAAGCATCATAGCCACAGCTGTCACAGCTGTCACAATGTACAGAACGCAAAGCTTGCACCTCAAACTTGCCCGCAGCCCCAAGTCGCCCCAAGAGAAGTGTTCAACAAAAGAGCATCCATTTTTGCGCATCCTTCCGAGGACAGCTTGCCCGAGCTCACCATCGACTGTGGACACGGCGTGCCGCCCAGATGTTGCACGTTCGAGAAACTCCTGCTGTTTTGCGCGAAGGGTTTGTGGGCGATTTGAAGTTCTGGCAGGTGCTCAAGGAGCTTTCGATCGCAAGTCAAAACTCAGCAGAAGCTTTTCCAACAAGAAGCAATACAAAATGATTGCAAAATCCACCCGCCCAGACGAGTCTCTGGCTGGGCTTGAGTTGGGTTTTTTCTGCGTTTTTGTGGCTGTTGTTTGGCAGCTTTCTCTTCCGTGATTCAGTTTCTACAAAATTGAGGTTTGGTCTTCTGCGTTAGGTGTTCCTGAGTTGTCCAGTTTTCTGAAGCTTTGCTGAGCACTTGGATTCTACGGATTCTGGTTGTGATCGCTAGGAGTTCGAGGGCCGTCGCTGTGCTAATCGCAACCATTGGCCATTCACGCTTCAGGCAAGTGTTTAGGGTTTAGGGCTTCGGGTTCTTGCCCAGTTTTTGCCCAGGTCTCATCCAATGAGGAGGTTCGAATACCACTGGAGCCCTTTGCCGCCTATGCCTGGAAGGTCTCAGCCGCTGCTTGCCTTGCCAGTCGCTGCAGCTACTATCATGGATTCCCCTACTACTCGGTTACTAGCCCCGGGACGAATGTGAGTCGATGAAACACTTTACGTGCAGCATAAAGCTGATAGACATGAGTGCACCATGTGAAGTTTGCACAGGGCACGGTTTCCATGAACCTTGGAGTTCTGGAGCTTCATGACGCAACTGACTGAGGCAGCCTGCTCAAGATGAAGGCTGTGTGATTGCAGCAGCGCGTCTTCGTGGTATCCTGAAACTACATGAACCTGTACACCCTGGAAACGAAGCGCCGGGCGAAAGCCTTTGCAAGCTTGTGGCATGAATCCGTCCCCCTGACTTCGATGACTTGAAGATTTGGCAGTTGGCCTGGACGCCCATTGATCTGCTGACGGCAAGCAGGCCAATGTCCGAGCACACACTCGGCGCCGGCTGGTGTCGGCATCTACAGAAGCTGGGCCAGACGCAGAGGCAAGACTACGCCGCTCGATCTGCCCGGACACGGAGCACGATGATGGCATCTGAAACGAGCACGCCGACGGTTGCATTCGCAGAAAAAATGATTGTGCTCACCTTCCCGTGTCCGTGTCCAGCTGTACAGCTGTTTATGGTGTTGCAGCAGCGACTCCTGGATTGTGTGATCACAGAGTGGAGACGCGCCTCAACCCCACCATGCTATCAACACCGAAGGCTCGAGCGATGCTAGACATGCCGGAGCCTTTAGGTGTCGACCTTGTAGCTGATAGCTTTGTCGTGAAACTAGATGTTTTTTCTGCACGTGACGTGCGTGGGAACATATCTGCGGGAGCCACTTGACATGCACCCCCAAATCGGCTGTAGCTGCTGCAGCAGTCATGGCTACCTCGACAGAGTCCATGGCCGCGTTGATGGCCGAGGCTTGTACGCCGCGATGGCTTTGTTTCACGCTGCCTACGGAATGCAGTAAGTTGCGCCATGTTGGGCCTGTGTGGATCTCGCTCTCTCTCTCTCTCTCTATATATCTATCTATCTATCTCTGTAGTGTGTGTATATAGATATACACAGGCTATAAACTGATCATAACTGATCCGTACAAAAACATATATATATATATACACACATACAACACATGCGTGAAGGCATCCGTGCGGAAGCTAATACGCTCGCGAAAGCTAGTGATGCAATCTACGGGTGGGACCCAAACCAAATTGGACAGGCATGCGTTAATTTTGCCCCTTGGAAGCCTGAATGGGAAAGGCAAGCCCTCGTTCCGCCACTTGAAACTCTGCACCTACCTGCAGATCTTTGGGGTGTTCCAACGTCCTTAAGTCTCGCTCTGACTCGTTCCAAAGATGCACCTGGGAGTGTGGGGAGCAGCCCCCTTGCTCATGGCGTGTGGAGGAATAAGAAGGACCACAAAAGAGAGAGTATACATCTCCCAGCCAAGGGCAGCCAGGGGCTGCCGTGTGACGATTCAATGGAATTCGGTTCGGTTCGGGGCGCGGAGCTGCGTGCAGGCGCGGGCCGAGCAGTCGCTGATCTCCGCACAGCTGAAGGCACTGCGCGGAGAGGCACAGGAGTGGGTTTGAGAGGTGCTCGAGAGCCGAAAGCCCTTATTTCATCAGGAGTTGGTTGCAGGCATTGCTTTTTTTGGCTTTGTGAGAAAGCCATCGCAGCACGTCACACACTTGGGTGCAAAGACACTTGCAGGATCCGCTCGGCATCTCTCAAAAATCGAACTCCTGTGCAAGTTCATAAGAACGAAGTGAAGAGAGGAAGTTTTTTCTTACTCGTTGCTGCAGCATGTTCCACACGAGAGGTGCCTGCGGCTATGCCCAGCATCTTGGACATGGAGATGTGCTGAGTTCTTTCTATTTTGGTCGGGCCGCAGCATGCAGGGAGACGCGAGAGAGCGAGACAGAGAGGGAGAGATTGGGAGAGAGATAGAGTGCGAGAGAGAGCGGGAGAGACCGAGGGACCGAGAAAGAGACTGCGAGACAGAGAGACAAGGGCTTTAGAGCTTTGAGGCATCCCAACTTTGGTTTGTGAGGGTATTGCACCTTTTCCACCGCTTGATGACATGTAACATGAACATGAAGCAGCCCGTCTTGACACAGGCGAGGCCTCTCCCAGCCACACGGGTGACCTCGGCGGCTTTTCAGAGTCGCGCCCGGTCGGCCGAGGGCCTAGAGCCGACTGCGCCGATTTAGTTGCTGCATGTTGCTTCTGCTGTTCAAACGCACGTGAGCCAAATCCTAAGCAGGAACGTATCAGACGAAGCCAGGAAGGAGTTCCAACTAGTAGCCCCTGGGCTTCATGAGAACCAGAGATCCTAAGAATCCCACAGGGCCCCAAACGCACGCATTGCCGCATTCCATGGGAAGTCTTGATGTGGAGGCCCTTCCAGCCCCCTCAGCTCGCCCTCAGCTTGGGCGAGTCCCCGAAATGGCTTGCCGAGTCGAGGCTGGCACTTGAGCTTCAAAGAGTGAACAGGTTGAACTCGGGTGTTTAGGGCCTTGCTCTATTCACAGTACCACCTGCCTGCTGCAAAGAACGCGTCTCTTTCGGCTTTGGTAGAACCTGGCTCGCAACCTCGAAAACCACACAATCCGTGACGTTCATTTGGGCGTGGCCAAACCAAACCCGCCCTCGCGCAAGGACCCCAAGTTATCTCAAGATTCTCAAAGTCCAACCCGAGCCGCCGAACCTGAAAACGCAGATCCATGCTGAGCCCCCGCCTGTTGCGGTTTTGCCACGCGAGGCATGCCGGGGCTCGATGAAGAGCTTTCTGCATTGAGGGGTCATGCCCCTTGTCTGAAGTGAAGGAACGCTGGTGCTGACAGCATTAGACGCCGGTGTCACTTGCCGACGTTAGCTGACATGGGTCTCTGCGATTGTCACGATCTTGATTTACGATTCGAACTCGCGCTCGGAGGTTGCAGACCTGGATAGCGAGCTCCTCCAGAGGGATGCAACCATTGACACGCTGCAAAGGACGCTGCGGGAGACGCAGGACACGCTCCAAAAGGCAGTCCCATGGAGATGTTGTTGCTGATTGCGTTGGTTAGCTTACTTGGGTGGTTTGCTTGGTTGGTTGTGGTCGTGGGTCAGGACTTAGGGTGGTTGTTGTTAGGGTTGGTTGGTGATTGGTGTGGTTGTGGTTGCTGCTGTTATTGCTGATGTTGTTTGCTGGTTGGTCGTTTTCTAAAATTGGTTGTTTTGTGGTGGTGGTGGTGGTGGTGGTGGTGGTGGTGGTGGTGGTGGTGGTGGTGGTGGTGGTGGTGGTGGTGGTGGTGGTGGTTGTGCTGATATTCTCGGCGGTTGACCCGCTTGAGCAACTATGCGAGCACTTTGAAAGCTGCCGGTCCTAACTTTGCCAGGCACTGCTCTCGCCGCAGGAGGGAGGCCTTTGGAAGGATCGATATCACGAGGCCGTCTGGAGCGTTGAGAACATGTCAAAAGGCATTCTGGGGGGAGATGGCTACCTTAAACTAAAAGAAGCTGAGCTGAGACCCAGTCCCAAGGGGTGTAGGCAATGCCTTTGCCATGAGGCCCAGAAGCAAAATGAGAGTCGAGGGCGAGAAGTGAAGGAACTGAGCCTGAAGTTAGACACCAAGGAGCCACTCGGACTGTCGCAGTCGTTACTGATGTTACTGCAACATTGAACGGCCCGTGCAAATATAGGTACCACATTCATATCATACACCAACCCTTATCAAAACAGTATTTGCTGGGGGTTTGGATTGTTCACATCGTATTGATTATAGTCTTGAGCTGGACTGTCGATCCCATATAATTCCCGTGAAAAAAGGGTTTAAAAGGGGGCGGGGGGTGAGCTAGCAGCCTTGAAGATAGTGAGCTGAGTTCTGCCGAGATTCAAAGCAAAACGGGCATGCGCGAGGTCGTCACCATGAGCCCCATGCCTCTCTAGCCTTCCCGTCCTGGGCCACCTGAGGAAGGAGATCAAGCTTCTCAGTCAGTATGTCCGGAAGCTGGAGGAAGAGGCACGAATCCGAGACAGCTGCCCGGCGAGCTTAAGTTTAAGTATTTCTGGCCGAAATTGGCCGGGGATTCAAGCAACATAGGCATATGCAGCTGCCAAAGGCAAAGAGATCGAGGGTATTTGACGGTAGGGCTCTGAGCTGGGGACGCCCACGGAAAAAGCACACTGCTAGAATTTAGGATTTAGGGTTTAGGGTTTTGTGCTGCGTCGGCTTAGCCGCGAGCTTCCATGTTGCAGCCAAGGCCAGCGCGAGCGACTGCTGACTGATGCCGGCATCGCGCGCAGCAAGCTCCCTTTTGCGGCACCAGTTTTTGAGGTTTTGAGGGCCGGTGAGGGCGAGATGTAACCATCCGACTACAACACTTCAACCCCCTGCAGGGACTTGACCTGGCGCACAGGGCTTTGGAGGCTCGTGAGTCTGCTTCATGGAAGGGGCACAAGGAGGGACCCCTAGAAGGGACCCCTAATCCGATTTGCCCTATATCACCCATATATATATATATATATACTGTATATAATCCCTATAATATACCTTAAGTAGCCCCTAAATAACCCCTAAGGTGCCTTGTAAGTATAAGGGTTCCTGCTATAGTCCCTTGATTCATGCGCGTAAACCAGAATACCATGAGTACTTGCATTCCCATGAATTCCTGCTTTGGGCTTCTTGTGCGCCGTGTGCAAGGTTCAAGCAGACGGAGTCTGACCAAAAGCAGCTCGTATCCAGGCTTCACAACCTGGAAGACAGCTTTGCACGCTGCATTGGCAGGGTAACACAAGCTCTCGCTGCTGGAGTCGTGGGCGTTTGCATCGATGAGGCTCAGCCGCTGCCACGATTCGTAGTCCTGAGCCCTCTCCCCGGTGGAAACGCCATCCTTGAAATCTTTGAAGAGCCTGACTCGCACTGGGAACTCGCTGCAGTGGAGCTCTCGCCCATGGGAGTTGGCAAGAAGCCTCCAGTCGCATTGGATGAGAATGCCCTGTCTTTGGTCACTTGCGGCATCTCGGGTGGCGGCGCCGCTTTCCGGGAGGCCGTAAGCTCCCCTGCCATCAAGTGTCCTGACAAGACATCCTTCGAGAAGTGGACGTTTGCCTTCCGAAACTTGGGCCTGTTGCCGCAGTATGGGGCAGTCACATCTGCACCTTCTGCGCCCAACTCACCGCAGGAGGCTCCCATGTCGCCCATGTCGCCGGCGCGAGGTGCCAGAGTTGTGATGTCCACGGAGCACCACGCAGCTTTGGCACAGAAGGATGACGCGCTGACCGAAACGAGGCTGAACAGCCTTTTGGGGGCTGTGGAGGGCAATCTGCAGGGTGAGCAGCGACTGGAGAAGCGGCTCATGGCCCGAGCCTGCGCCGTGGTCATCCGAATACACTTGCCTAAAGAGGACCGGCAGGAGAACTTGCTGCTACTCTGCTACTTGAGGGCCTACTATGTTGTGGCAGCATGGCAAGATGGAATCCATTGGGTGAACAATCATGGAAGCTGCATCTACCTCTACTGCGACACGGCCATTCTCGGCCTACGCATCGCCCTCCGAATGCAGAGACTTGCCTTCGAGTTTCCCGAATGGGTCGAAGATGGCTACAATAAGGACTGCCAGGGCTGCAGTACCCTTTGTGCCGTCTCTGTTGGGATGGAGATGGGCAACCTGCTCCCGTTGCGGGGCGACTTCTTTGGAGAGGCCGTCGATGCCGCCATCCAGACGCTCTGCTGTGCTTGGCTTCTCTTAGGGTTTAGGGTTTAGGGTTTAGGGTTTAGGGTTTAGGGTTTAGGGTTTAGGGTTATCTGGTGGAGCATCAAAGGTCGCACGTAAGGTTACATCAGGTTGAAGTAGAGGGCTGTTCCTTGCAGAGGTTCTGTGCAAGCTCGTGGAAAACCGATGGGAGCCCAAATCGCGTGGATGTTCACCTAGCAATGGCCCGGTCAGTAAGCTGTCTCGCCTAAAGCTTCTAGACTTCTAGCAAACAAAAAACCATGCAGTCATCTCTTTGCTCCGCAACCCCGGGCTCCCCTCACTCCTTCTTATGACTGGGTGATTTACGATATAGTAAGGAACCCCTAAACCCCAAACCCCAAATAAGGACCCCAAGAAGGTACGCCCAATTTCGGAAACCCACCTGAAGACGAGGATGGAAGAGCTGGCCTCTCCGGGCGAGCTGCTGCTTAGCAGCGCGGCCTGCGCCTCGGGACTCGAGGCCACTGAGGGTACTTTCGGAGTGGGGTAAGTGTAGCGCTTTATTAATTCAGGCCATTTCGATCCGTGTACCTAGGGACGAGTCAGAGGTTTTAAGATACTTAGAGCCAAAATTGGGCCGGAAACTTGGGTGACACTCAGATGTACAGTGCAAGGGGCCTGCCTTGTCTCAAGAGCAGGAACCAGAACACACAGCGCTGCAAGTTAAAAGTGCACGCAGTGCAACACAAGAAACGTTTGTGGTCCTGCAGCTGCACAAAGGCTGTCCAAGTATGTCCAAATATGATAAATATGCGGGGCCACATATGTGGGGTTGTCAAGCCTTGGGCATGCAGGCATTAGGATGATGTAGGTTGCGTGCTTGGTATGGTACGGCGTGTACGGCAGCAAAGCCGGTGAAAATGGGATGATGGTGATGACACGTCACAGCTGAACGTTGCGAAAACGGATATGCAATGCGTGCTGAATCTGGCGAGGACCAAGAGCTGCGGCTGCTGAGGGACTCTGGATGTGTCTTGGCATGCGGGCCGTTGACTGCGCCATTAGCTTCCCGTGTTGTCGCCATTTTTCTCCAAAAACGGTGTGCACGATTTTTAAGGGGCTCTCCCCTGACAGAGGGGAAATCAAAGAGCGCCGTGACACCTCGCAGAGTGCCTGGCCTGGTGCGTCCCTCTCGCCCCGGGACCTGGGATGCGAATCACATGCACGTTGCGTGATCGGAACCGTGCTCACACCAAAGTCCCGTGCGCATGCTCTCGAACCATGCGTCGCGATGCGCATGAAGTGGCATGGCTTTTGCACCGCGGAAAGTACGAAACAGAAGAACTCGTCGCAAACCAAAGTGGAGGCACGGAGTTCATGCCCTTCACGATTTCGTCGCAGTTTGGATGGGCTTTGGACGTGTGTTTTTCGTGCACACTCGCATCGCTCATTATCATGAAGCATGTTCTACTGCGATGCTTTGGGTGATTTCCAATGGTTAGGGGTCAAAGTGTCCCGAGTGTCTCTTGCTCAGTAATTATAAGGTCGTGTCTGAGACCCGGGATTCATGTGAGGCTCAGAAATGATAGGATTGTCCCCTCCTAGGGCTCAGCAAGGGCTTAGTTGGATAGAATTACTAAGCACTCGGTAGGCGCTCATGGTTTCCAAGATGCCATCGTGATAATGTCATAATGTCTCGGCCAAACGTGTGGTGCGCCTTGGCTGAATCCGTGGTCGTGCTGCTTACTGGTGCATTTTGTCTTAATTAGGTGTAAGCTTGTTTTGCTCACAATGTGTCGTAGTTTTGCTTATTGACTTATTGCTGCATCTTGGCTTAAAAATATGTCGCTTCTTGGTGCGTCTTGGCTGAATGCGTGCTTGTTTGCTCATGTGATGACTTTGGTAGCCAAGATGGTGAGGACCTTCGGTGGTCTCTTCCAGCGCACGAGAAACCGAAAAGTGCCCAAGGAGGCAAAAGTCGAAAAGTGGGCTTTTCGAGCTGTTGGCTAGGGTTTTGGCTCGGCTGGCTTGGCTTAAACTTTTTAAAGCGGTGTCTACACTACACTCTACTCTTGGTTACAGAAACTCTCCGAGGTTTGGAGCTCTCCCAGCGCTCTGCGCAGCTTCCCAGTGGCCACACCTTGAGCTGCATCTGCGCTGTGGTGCCCGACAGCCAAAAGCTCCTTGGCTCCTAAGTCTTGGGTTCAAGGCTCAGGCGATGACAAACATCCGAGTGACATCATGGCATGGTAGCATATCGCTGAACTCCACATACAGAACGCGTAGTCAAAGCTGTGACTGATGGTGGGAGAGTCTTTGAAGCGGTACTTGTAGTTGCTTCGAGCAGGGTTCTGTGATATTCTTCGCATCGCATGTGCATCTGCTACTGAGGCCAGACGTGCACGTCTGTCCCTCCCAGATGTATGAAAGGCCCCCATCGAATCGCCAAGGTTAGCGATCCCCATGGCCCGGGCCAGCCCACCAGGGATGCAGGCAGCCGTGGATGCTATTGGGCCACCCCAGGGCCTTCAGTCGAAGAGCACCGCTGCTTGCATCATTCCTTTGTTTTCTTCTTTCTGCAGGGAGTGTTCGTTGGTGCTCCTTATTGCTTGGTTCTTCAGTGGCCTTCGGAATGGCATTGCGGAAGCCCTGGGTGCCGATCTACAGGCGCACAGGGTTCATGGGTTCAGAGCACGAATATATATGAGAGTGCGTGTAAATTGCATGTGATAATGCATGATGATCGTCGCCATTCAGCCGCCGTTGCTGCCACTTCCGGACACATTTGAGAGCCGGGGCCTGGCCTTCCGCATCTGCCACCATGTTTACACGGGCTTCCTGCACACTTTTGCAAAATGCTTACGTGCAATCGCAACATATCAGAGAACGTATCGCGCAGCTCCTTTCTTGTGGAGTGCTTTTCGCCCCAGCAGGGCTTCTCCAGGCCTCCAAAATGCTCTCCCTCCGCAGAACAGCTCTTGCACGCGAGTCGATTGCCAAAACCTTCTACTGCCTGTCGTGCTGCTCGTGCTTCCGCGCCTGCTCTTACGCGACTGCAGCTTCAGGGTTCGGTTGGTTGGAAGGGGTTTGAAGGCGCTGATGTCTGGTCATATGGCTGCAGTGCCTCTAAGCTCTGGATGAAACACAACTGTCCGACTGCGACGAGAAGCTAACTCTTGCCTTGCAGTCAAAGCTTGAAGCTGCAAGGCACCGTCGTCCTGGCAGCCTTCGCCCGGAGCATAGGCGCCGAGTCGCGGGCCAAGCGACGGCCCATGGAAACTCTGCGACACATGCCGGCAAGTTGAAGGCTCTTTTGTGTTTAAGGCCTACCAATCATTGGGTGTAGACCACCTCGCTGCCGTCGTTCATTTAAGAAGAACTGGCACAACTGGGATTGCTTGCCCAAGACATGTAGCGGTCGAAGAGCCGAAAGTACTGGAGTCCTGGTTCGGTTGAAGCAAGCGCCCTGCGAACCTTTCTGTCCAACCATCTGCACACTTGAACCAAACGAATGTCAGCGCATTTGCATTCAAGCAGCTGAGGACTACTCCTCAAATTCCGGGAAACGGTTGCGACGGCAGTCAACCGAGCCGGAGGCCGGCAAGTGCGAAATCCTTGAAGGAGCGGCACATTTTGCACGTGTTGCATGTCTTTTTGTTTCGCGTTTTATGCCAATTTGAGGAGTTTAAGCTGCATAGTGTGACGAGACGGCACAGGAGTCACAGGAGTCGAGAGCTCTCAACTGGGGGTTCATTTGCGAATTTGCCAGTTTTTGCTTTCCCTCATGCTTTGCCCTGTCTTGCGGACCCTGGGGATGGCACGGCAGAGGGAGATTGAGAGGGACAGAAGGCCATAAGCGCGGAAGGAAGGAAGAAGAGAGAAGAAAGCGAAGAGAGAGAGAGAAACAAAGAGAGAAACAGCGAAAAGGGGGTGGCAGCATAACCCCTTCGATTCCTGGAGTCTCCGGATGCTGAGGCAAACTCTGCTGGTACCAGGGCCATCGAGTTGCTGCTGTTTTCGATTCCTGTGAGGCGGGGGCTCTGTGCAAACTCGGGACTGGAACACCACACGTTTCAGGGTCTAGGCCTAGGCCCGAGTGCAGGCCGAGAGTACGGCTCAGAGCAGTGTGCCGGTTTTCTGGTCCAGGTGGCCACTGTCTGTGCGGAGGAAGCACACAAGGAGCTCAGGGTCATGCACTGCTGGGAACCTCTACTTGGGATCCTTTTCTCCATACATGCCTGACGACAGGCATAGTCTGCAACGCTACAGTATGCTCTTCAGCAGCAGTCGTCTGAATACCATAACCTCTCTTTTTCCACCAAATCCTGCTCTGAGATGGCAACACACGGGGCCAAAGTTAGCGGTCGCTGTCTGGTTGCAGTTCGGTTGGCTTCGGGCGTTTAGCACTTTAGCGGTGTAGGCTTGCAAGGGAAGCGTAGAGCCTTTGACGTGCATTCCTGTATTGTGCTAAGTCTTCTTGGGATGGGCCCCACTGTCCTTGCAAGAGTCTCTTCAGATATGGTTGTGCTGCCCTCAGTCCACGCTTCGGACAAAACAGCCAAGGATGCGCTCAGTGCTATGAGAGTGTAGCAACATGCTGCGATGTTGCATTAAACAATGATGCTCTGAATTGCAGGAGATGGCCATGCACAACGTGCTTCTGCTGCGATTACGGGCTGCGGTGCCGTGTGCTTGCCATTCCTCATTGCAAGGGGCTGTTTCTGGCTATACATTGCCATCCGAGTCACCGCCGACAGGCATATTCAACTGGATAACAGAAGTATACGGTCCGAGATTGTAGGGGCAAACGTCGTGTTGTTCTTGACTTGTTGGACACCTCGTAGGTTGAGACCTCGGGAAACCCGGCCGTATCCGTTGCGACGAGAAGTACGGCTCAAGCACTGATACCGACGTTGCATCATAGATTCGGTTTCCCGGCCAGGCCTTGCATAAGAACTGGACAGAGAGAAACAGCGAAGTACTCCCTACTTTTGCCTGCAGTGTTCTCGGTTGCCAGACCATGCCTTTGGGTGCACTCACATTATGTATGCTACCTGAACGGCTCGATG